TTACATTAGTGATGTATCCTATTAGTTGGATCTTCCTGCAGAAATGTCTAATGTTCATAATGTATTTCATGCTAATCTCTTGGCCCCTTACACTATGGATGTTGCAGACAACAGGGAGATTTGTCTGCCACCAGATATTGTGGACGGTGAACCAGAATACAAAGTTGAAGCTATCTTGGATTCTCGGTTGGGCTCGTGCGAAGGAATATCTAATTAAGTGGAAATGTTACCCGTCTTGTGAATCAACTTGGGAACCTCTTAGGAATCTCTTATTATAAATCTTGCAAATCAATAAAATAATATTTTTCTATAAATCAAAGTTTCGTTTCTCTAGTTCATTGGTACTTGGGTCAATTATGGCAGGCTGACTTCGGCACTTCGGTGCATGGGATCCATAACCATAGGGATAGCTATTATAGACTGATCACAAGTCCCTGCCTCTCTCTCGATGATTCATTTTTGAAAAGGGGTCGTGTAAACAACTTAATTTGCCAGTTTATAATAGTTGTCTAAATCTTCCCAACGAGGTTGATTTCTTGCTCAGAGGAAGTTGGGCCTCTAGCCTTCTCCCTATATTCCTGCGGGCAAGGATGTATCATTCCTTTGTAAGCCAAGTGGTACTCGAAGCAGCAAGGGTGGCTAACTCTGTTAGTCATTTCCTTGTCAGTGACGGCCGAAGGGTGTCTAAATTTTAACGTCTTTGGATGTAGAGGAGAGGTCGTTCCATAACTCATTTAAGTCGGTTCGTTTCCCACATAGTGTCCTTTCCATTAACTTTCGAAGTTGTTTCTTTGACGGTTTGCTAAACTTGGGTATGCATCAATGAGGACATCAATCTTCCCCAAGGGGGGGAGAGTGTCGCGAATATGACATCGGGTATCGAAAAATATTTGTCGGCTAGTCCTTATGGACACTCTTTCCTTACTGCTATGACGGTAAGAGGTCGGTACAATTGGATCCCTTTGGTAACCCCGCTTGTGCTAGTGGAGTTAACTGGGCATTTCGAGTGTACTTAGACCAGATGAGCATAAGGACGGAATTCCTACGTGCTATTAACTAAGCATACTTAGCTTGGTAAGGAGTTCCCGTCTTGTTATGTCTTACACTAGCTAGTGACAAGAACCCTCGGGTATTGAGACTAGTCCCTCAATATCACTAGATGATAGCTTACCGTGTCTACTAAACACCCTCGCTATCATGCCTTTTATGTTAGCCTCATTTCGGTCCCAAATGCTATTTATGAAAAATGTCTAAATTCGCTCATTTGGCATATTTACGGAATGTAAAGATTGGCTTAAACACAATAGTGTTCGTCCCATGTCCAAATTCGCAATCTAGAAACATTCTATATTTAGTAAGTTTCAAGTTTGTCCCAGAGATTAACTCTTGGTACTAAGGGAGGTTTGGGGTGAAAGCCCAAAACGTGTATTCCTTAGGGGGGGGGTGTTCTAAATGTGTATAATAGGGATAGTGGTTGACTCTCGCTAGGTTATCTCGCTCTTTGTTTTACATCTGGCTTAGGTTTAAGCCCAAACTCCACATTGCTTTAGTCAATGGGGTACCCCTCTTCCTTGCATTAGGCCACCGGTATACCAAAATTGTGCCAGACACCATTTGACACCATTTTGTGTGCAGGTGTTGGATATGGGGAGCTGGTGCTCATGGGATTGTATCGGACCCTTGTTTCGTAGCATAACAGGCTTGGAGTTTAGCTTCAAAATTCAGGTGTGCTACACTTTTTTTGTGCGTCTTTTTATGTAGAGTAGTGTTTTTCCTTTGAATCAAGTTTTTTTGGATCTATGGCAGTAGGAGTATTAGACTGAAAGCATTGAAGACCATAGCCAAGAATCCAAAAGGGTGAATCTTGATAACTATAATGTAACACACATAGTTTTCACCCTTTATCCTTTAGTGCACGCAGTCCCCTTTAAATTCTCCTAGTACTGTAAGGATGAACTTAGCATGGTCTCATGCTTAATTAGGTGCTACAATTACTCAAAAACATCTATTTATCTATCTATCTATTGTCTTTCAAAAATTTACTGAAGGAGAGAAGGAATAAAAGGTTAGTTCTATGCATTAGTTTCAAATATTGACTTAGTCTGAGACATTTTCTAACAGCAATTGAAGGTTGTCTTTGATCTTCTAATAGCAAGACATAACTAGAAAAAAAAAACCCTGAAACTCTAAAATATGTTGTATAAAGGTGTGAGTCATCCTTAAATAGTAAAGAAATTAATATTATATTGGAAAATATAGCCTAAACCTATACATGTAATATCCTAAGCATTAGCTATCAACTTTCAATGTTTGAATTAATTTAGTACTTACTTGCTTTTAGTTTTACTAATTTCTAAAATATGCAATATATTTTTGGTTGCATATTCTAGATAAATTCAATTATTAAAGGTATATTTGGTGATGTGTTGGGCACTAAAAACCCTTCAAATGGAAATCCTCCTCTAAAATCATTGCTCACAAGTCACTCCCTTTAGTGCACATCACTAGTGTCATAGGTACCCTTGAGCCCATTAGGCCACAAGTGTCATGGGTATGGCACTTCGAGGGTATTCCAGCAATTTGCCAGCCAAAAAACTTAGCTTACATGGATTTGCCATGTAATCCACTTTCCACATAATCTCATTTTGGTGGGTCTGCACTTCCATGTAAGCTCATTTTGGCATGGAACCCAATTTCCAGAAATATTGTGAGAAAAAGGTGTTAGGTGCCATGATGGCAGGGCATTTTGATCCAGATTTCTATCAAGTTAAGCGTTGTGATCAACTAGTATTTCAATAGTGGTGAGAGCATCTTGGTAAAAGGTATGAATCTAAATATCCTATCCAGTCTATCTCTATCTGAAAATCCTTGTTAGAAGCACTATCGATCATTGGTTGAACGTTTTGGCGCACAATGTCCTTCTGTCTTGAGGAGCTGAGACAGGAATTTGTGCTCAAGGTATTTTGCTTTATTCTCTGAAGGTTTAAAACTCTACTCTTTGCCATGAAGTTTTCCTGAGCCCCTCCAAGATTCTAATCAAGAGCTTCCTCCAAGCATTTCCAGAGCCTCTTCTTGCTTCCAATCAAGCATTTCTAGAGCCTCTTCCCATAGCTACACGGACATTTCTAGAGCCTGGTTCGCTTTTTTTTTATGTTTATACGTCTGTCTCATCTCTCATTTTTCCAGGCCGATTTACCTGAAAATCAAGAGCCTATCATATGAACGAGTGTTTGGGAGCAGCAAGAATTTTTAGAAGAAGAAGTTCCTTGCAACATACTGCCCATCCGTGTTCTTGGACGGGCATTGCAAGGTAACACAATCTTTCGCAGCTATGACATACTTTACGTTTTCCCATGGACGATGGCTGGGAAGCATTCTTTAGCGGTGTCAAATACATCGAGCACTTTGACAACGTTTGATTCGACCGCAGATTCGTGCCTTTGGGTTACGAGACAGCTCTCTTAAAGTTCCTGGGGACCGGCCTCAGCTGCTCGCCAGCAGAAGTGGACGCCTCCAAAACAGCGAGGCTCTAATAGTTTGGCGAGATCTTCTCAACAACATTCTCGGGCAGCAATTCTACCGAAGAGATTCACTCCAGTTCTAGCGACATGATACAGGTGCTACTCATGCACTCCGGAAAGCCAGAGTCGAGGCTGAACATCGAGGAGGCCATTGAATTTCGCAAGAGCTGCAAATGTAGAATGTGCGAAAGGTACCTGAGTATGAGCCTCCAATTCGCGCAGGTGGAGACAGAGCACAAGGAGCTTGTGATGACGATCCGGACCCTCAGGAACGTTGCTTTATACATTGGAATCAAAGTTGGTTTATACATTGAAATTCCGTCTAGGAAACCAATCATTGTCTTAAAAACCAATAAACCAACATCGCCCATATAAAAGACATTTTTTTTCTTGCGTGGGATCTCCTTGTTGGAGAGCCGGAGAGAGAGAGAGAGAGAGAGAGATCTTTTGAAATATCTTTTGAAATGTGAATGCATCAAGTCCATCAAATTATCTCCCTATGCATTTTTAAAGAAGAAAAGAATGCATCCAATGAAAGACACTAGTGATATAAATATTATTGAAGGTTATACTTATGATAACTCTTCAATCCAGAGCAGTTCAATCCTCTCAAATGAAAGATTTTCATCATGTCGTGATTTTTTACTCTACCAAGTGTGAAGTTGCAAATGATTAAGAATCAAGCATTCTATAACATAGTGTGAAGAAAAATAGCTTTACTGGCATTGGAATAATACTACATCTAATCACATCCCACCTAAAAATATATTTTGTCTTAAACATTATAATAACTAATTAAGATAAAAAACTCACTCTTGGTTGCTATTCACTAGGAAAATTTTGGAATATATAAAAATGAAATTTAAATGAAATAATATGTTTAATTTAACAATTATAGAATAATAAAATTAATATTATCAAGTAATAATAACTAATTTGGAATGACAATATAATATAATAAAATAAATAATGATTGAAACTGCTTATTTGAAATAAGATTAAATTTAATCAATGATGAATGTAAAACTAAATTAAAATAATATTATATCTAGAAGAGAAATTATATGAAGTTTCATTTCTATACATTCAAGCTAGCAACATGAAGCATGATGAAGATAAATAAATAGTGGTAAAAATATTATGATTTTAAATTTAACTTTTACTATATACGTGTTTAAGAGAAAATTTATAAAGCTTTATCTACCATAAAAAATCAATCTAAATTTAATAAAATTCAAAGAATAGTTATATTATATTTTTTAATGTTTACTTGTATTTACCACACATAATACACATATACACATAGAAATGTACCAAGGTCAGAGACAATGATATTTTAGAGACCATATTGAAATACACTAAATTTATACTATGCTAAATATGCTTTTTTTGGAACCCAATTAAGAAGCATAAGTAATATTAATTTTGGAAATTATAGAAATTTTATTAAATATATGGGCCAGTTAATTATTATTCACAGAACTAAAACATGTTAGATTTTGTATTTCTATAAATTCTGAAGAAAAACAGCTTAGGAAGTTAACGTTTTTAAGTCCCAAGGGTAAGGAAAATGTGTCACAGCCTCAGTATGTGGTACCAAAAAGCTGCGGTACACAAACCTGTCAAGATTAAGCTTGTTAGTAGGTCACAAGTAACTGTCCACATGAAGTTACACTCGTATAGGTGGTCTTGAAATTATCACATAGAACTGTAAATCCTCATTGCTTGTATTGATTATCTGCGCATTTGAAAGACGACTGAGCCAAAGGAAAAGATTTTTGGGTGCTCACAAACCTGGTGAACTGAATTTACAGGAATCGTCATAGTGCTGTTTCCAGAGATATGGAACTGGAGGACTTCACCAGGATACTCCAATCCCGGTTCTGCCAGAAACAAAGTCCCTTTCCCCTTGAGCACCAAAAATATCTCTTCACAGTCATGACGGTGAATTGGGGTGCCAGATCCAGGAGCAAAAGTTTGCAGCCAAACCTCCAACTGGTGTTCACAGAAGGGAACGAAAAGAATGCTGCGAACCAGGAGCATAAAAATCCGAGACCTCTTTCATGCCGTGATGAACAGCCCCAGCTACAGTCATGTGAGACAATCCCGGACGACCATAGCTGTCTTGCGGAATATCAGAGAGGTTCCTGACTACTAAAATCCCTGAAACAAAACACAAGTTTTTTGTAAATCACTTCTAGAGATACCTGAAGCTCTTGAGAGCGCCGCAAAGGCCAGCACCCAAACCAGCAAGACGCTCCTCATCGAAGAAGCCCTAACTAGATTCTTTCATATCCGGGGTTTAAGATTTCCGACCTTTTATGCAAATATAATGCTCCAAAATAACCTTCAAAATACTTTATAAAATGTGCACAAATACAGTGAAAATCCATCCAAGTTATTTACAGCTATTTTGTTCACCTTGACCAGCAGCAAAGCATTGCATATCCCAGGGTGCAGGAAAATGAACAGCCTCAGCATGTGGTATAGAGAAGCTCTGATAAACAAACCTGGAGCGCAGCAACAGATTTGTTGTGCTACTTTCTTGATGCAATTGAAATATCCAACTTACACCCTAACAGGAGGTCTTGACATTACCGCCGAAAGCTGCACATCCTCGTCCCCTGTGTTGATAATCTGTGCATAGGAATGCGTGCTGAATCGAATGGTGATTTTCCCATTACACAGACCTGGTGGACTGAATTTGGAGGAACCGCTATGGTGCTGTTTTGTGAGAACTGGAACTGGGTGGTTTCACCCGGATGCTCCAATCCTGGTTCTGCCAAGAGCAAAGTTCCGGTCCCTTTGAGCACCAAGAGGACTTCTTCGCAGTCGTGGCGGTGAATTGGAGTGCCAGATCCTGGAGCAAAAGTCTGGAGCCAAACTTCTATCTGATAGGAAAGAAGATGAAAATGTGAGCTATTGTGTGGTTTTTCAGGACCTCTTTCATGCCGTGGTGAACCGCTCCGGCCACAGTGATGTGGGAAATTCCAGAAAGGCCGTAATTTCCTTCGGAAATATCAGAGAGGTTTCTAACAACTGGAAGAGAGAAAAATAAGAGAGAAAGCAAACCAAGAGTTCTGAAATGAAATACCTGAAGAAGAGGGTCTTGAAAAAAGCGTAACGAAGAGAAGCATCCAAACCAAAACACTCTCCATCCACATACCCTAAAACAGAAATAAGCAGAAAATGTTGAAACTCAACACTTTTTGTTTGTAACTAAAGTGAATACGTGCTATTAAAGTTAACCATATTATGATAAGAAATTCATAGAATGTTCCATCAATCTTTTATCTTTTTCGCGGAGCCGCTGTCACAAACTTAAATTTCGCCTTTACAAAGTCACAGAGAAAACAAAAATCTGAAAATTAAAGAAGTCCGTCAACCCACTGCAGATGCCACTGGCTCCACTCCACATCTGAATCATCTTTTTTTGATGAATCACGAAAGCTATCGTAGCATTCAAGCGTCCCGTGGAATCACGAGCAATGTGCCAGTGATCCATCAAAATCAAGCCTCCGCTTTAGCTTGACCAGATCGAGATATGGCAGCAAGAAACTCTCTGGAAGTTGACGAGACGGGAGAATTTTAGCTGCGAAAACACGGATGATCAGCATGGAGGATTTAGTGCGCTGATGCTGGCGGTGAGAATTTCTGTTGGCGCTGGCGAAGAGTACAAACTCTTGTCAGCTGAAAACTCTCTCGCCAGGGAAAGTTTTCGCATTTGATGCAAGCCAAGCGCGAGAGACCCACCAGCCTTGAAATCGTGTCAGCTGACAACCCGGTCGTGGATCATGCTTGGCTCGCACAATTCTCTCGGCCGCTTGCCAGAGTCGATCGTTCATAAGCAAACCGTGAAGTTGGATCGATCCAACCAACGACCATAACGAACTTCATTCTCAGCTGACACGGGTTTCCCAGAAAACAGTTTTCGCTGCTTTTGTCTCAAGAGGATCAACTGGAGGAGCGGAAGCTTCCGGCAGTGACCATCCATCTCTCAACACTTCTCCTGAAAAACCAAAGAGAAAAACTAGAAGAATCAGTGCTTTGAAAACCCATGAAAAGTCACGCACTACTCCCTCCCTAGATCGAGATCTTCTATCTGATCAAGCTGGAATAGCTGAAGCTCGGGGGAGTCACGTACGCCATCGAGACGCTCTCCCGCGACGCGGTGATGTCCACGATCGCCTCCGTCTGCACCGAGAAGTGGAACGTCATCGGCGGCTCCTCCACCTCGCGCTTCCCCTCGATCATCCGCACGACCTCGTCCATCGCCGGCCGGGATCCGGCGTTCTCCTGGATGCACCACAGCGCGATGTGGACGAGCCGCGTCGCCACCTTCTCGCTCGCGGAGCTCCGGACTTTGGGATCCACCACGCCCATCAAATTCCCCAGCCGGACCTCGTTCACCACCCACGCCGGGAAGTACCACGCCAGATCGATGTTCATCCTCGACACCTCCAAGTTCTTCCGCCCGCCAATGATCTCGAGAAGAACCATGCCGAAGCTGTAGACGTCGCATTTCTTGGTGGCGATGGAATGGAGCAGCCATTCCGGGGCCAAATATCCAGGCGTTCCTCGCACACACGTGATGACCTGGCTCACATCGTGGTCGTCCAATTGCTTGGACATTCCGAAATCCGCCACCTTTGCCACGAAGCGATCGTCGAGTAGGATATTCTGGGGCTTCACGTCCAGGTGGATAATAGGCTCGCTACACTCCTCGTGGAGATAGGCCAGGCCACGTGCCGTGCCCAGAGCGATCTCGATCCGGCGATCCCAGCTGAGCGTTCGGAGCTCCGGGGATCGATTCCCATCCCCAATTCCCTCCGCGCCGCCACCGCCGCCGCCACCGCCACTACCGCCGCTGCTACCGCCGCCGCCAAACAGCCACCGATCCAGCGATCCATTGGGCATGAATTCGTAGACGAGCATGCGCTGCGAATCCTCGAGGCAAAATCCGCACAGCCGGACGACGTTCATGTGATTGATGCTCCCGATCGTCGCGACCTCGGCGATGAATTGTCGCGCGCCCTGCGTGCCAGTGCCCTCGAGCTTCTTCACCGCGACGTGCCGCCCATCGCCCAGGAATCCCTCGTACACCGATCCAAATCCCCCAGCTCCAAGCTTCCGGGAGAATCCCTTGGTCGCGGACGCGAGCACCGAGTAGGAGAATCGCTGGGGCAGCCCGCGGACGCTCGAGAGCACCGCGTTGAGATCGCTGTCGGCCTTGTTCTTGCGGCGATTCCTCCACACCAGGACCGCCAGCACCGCTGCCAGGACGATCGCGGCGGCGGCGATGCCCGCCACGAGCTGGACGACCCTGTTCTTGGATCCACCGCCCTCCGGCGCGGCCATGGAGATCGGACCCATCAGGAGCTTGGCGTTCTGGAACTTGATGAAAGCGTCCACTGCCGGATCCTCCGCCATGCTCCCGATCACCGCATCGCCCACGAAGAAGCACTCGCGGGATCGATCGTTGTAGAAGAGCGCCATGCACTGGCAATTGGAGAGGCAATCGGTGGAGCACTCCTGGAGCGAGGATCGCTTGCTGGGCGCCACGAATCCGGTGGAGAAGTAGCGGATCCCGGTAGCGTTGAGGAAGTGGTGATTGTAGATCTCGTTCTCGCAGACCATCGGCTGGGGGATTCCTGTGCTTGGGGCCGAGCAAGCGCCGCCGCCGCTAGCATTCCCGCCAAAGCTCTCGTTCCCCTTGCTGTGGATCTCCACGCATCGGCATTTCCCTCCGGCCTCGCAGATCCCATAGGGGCCGCAAGCCAGCGGCAGCTTGCACGGATCATCGCCCGAGAATCGTGAGTCGGGTAGCCAGTCCGAGGAGGATCGATCCAGGCCATAGACGACAAGGTCGCCGTTTGGATCCAGCCTAAGAAACGGAAGAACGAGAGGATCGCTTCTCCTGGAAGCCAAGATCTCGAGAGATTTCCCGGCGCCGCAAGAATCGTGGCCGAGAATGAGATTGTTCCCGGAGAAGCCAAGAGCCGCCGGGCATGACGATGATGATCCTTCCAGCCTCCAGAGATTGTATGGCTGGGATCGCAGCGAGAGCGTGAGGGTTTCTTGTGAGACCGCCGCCGCGAAGAATCCCTGCGAGAACTGCGTCGCCGCGCTGCCATTCCTGGCCGAGCTCGTGAGGCTCATCCCGGATTTGAGCGCTTGCCCGGGCAGCATCGTGTCGCCGGGGGAATCGAAGCTCTGCCATATCCTAGCGCCGCTCTCGTCGAAGAAGGCGAGATTTCCCGATTCCTCCAGCTCGATCCCTGCGATGCCGTTCACATCCAGCTTCCAAGTGAGCGATCCTTGAGAGTTGAGAAGGATGAACTTCTTGTGCGTCCCCGTGAGCAAAAGGCTCGATCCATCGCCGGTGGAGCCGGTCCTGTTCGCGATCCACACCGGCACCGCCGCGCGCGCCTTGCCGCTGGCTGGGCCCTGCATCATCACGCACAGGAAGAAATCGCCGGTGGCATTGGGATCGAAGAACGCGAGCGCGAACGTCCCGTTGTCGCTCGCGAAATCCACGCTGCCATTGCCGAGAATCCGATACTTCCCTGGCCCGCTCGCGATCGAAACCTCGGTGAGATTCGCTAGATTGTTGATGCGCTGCCCTGGCGCGAGATCATACTTCACGGCCTGCGAGAATCCCGTCGTCGCGACGATCGCAAGGAGGCGCCATAGAAGTAGCATTATCATCTTCTCATGGGGGAAGCTCCGCTAGCTCCCTAGCGAGAGGATTTGAACTGGTGGACATTCCGCCACGTAAAGTAGACAGTGTCCACCGTCGATCCAGACTTTTTCACCGTTGGATCTAATCTGGTGGATCAAATAATAAAAGTGCTGTCACCGTTGGATCTTTCGTCGTGGCAAACATGCACCGTTGGATCCAAACTGGCGATTCTGGGAATAATCAATGCCCTCGTTTAGGGTTTATGCGAGAAACAGGGGTGCGGTGCTGCATTTCCAGCGGTCAGTGTGCTGATCTTGACGCTTCCCAGAGGGAAAATCACGCAGTTTTACCTACATTGGCCGGCCCATTCATCCGCCCATTGATTGTGGCGCACAGTACTTCCAGCAAGAAAGAAAAAAGAAAGATCTGCGAGGAGCGTGACCGGTCCCAGTGATCGCTGCCAGGCGCTGTTGGGCGATGGTTTTCTTCACATTGCTGGAAGGAGGGTAGAGAATGGGTGTTTTCTTGTGGCGATTTAATGCCGCTGCCGGCGATTTGCAAGGAATTTACTTTGCGCTTGAGACTGGAGGGGGATCCCTTTCGTTCTGGGCCTCTTCTTCTCTAGCAGTGGCTTGCTAGATTTGAGAGGAAGAGTTGGAGCATTCATTCTGCTCCAGGGCCTCCCTAAGATTCAATGACGCTGCTTCTCGTTTTGCTGGCCGGTTGCTACGCTCTCACATTCGCTGGCTCTCCAGGAGCGTCAGCGAAGGAAATGCAAGCAGTCACCCGCAGCGATGGAATTTGCAAGGAGCTCGTCGCTCCTCACGGTTTCCACTGCGAGGAGTTCATGGTAAGTTTGATTGGAATGGTGACTTTCCTTTCATTTCTCACATCTCTCACTCCTGTGTGTTGTGACTCTTCTTCTTCCAGATCCAAACTCAGGACGGATACCTTCTGGGACTGCAAAGAGTTTATCGCAAGATACAGAAGAGTGGTCGCACAGTTATCCTCTACCACGGCATTGACAATGTAAGTTCTTCCAGGAGAGGTTCCCGTTTCGTCGCTAATTTTCTGGATCGAAGCATTGCAGGGTGGAGATATCTGGCTGCTGAATCCTCCGAGACAATCTTTGGCGCTCATGCTTGCGAATCGAGGGCACGAAGTCTGGATCCCAAACACGAGAACGAGCACGTATAGCTACGGCCATGTTTCGCTCAGCAAAGATGACAAGGTTCCTGGAAATCTTTTCTTTTACGCTCTTTCTATGCCATAGCCTTTGTGTTCTTCCTTTTTACTGTGAAAAGCAATTCTTCTTTTTCCACAGATGTATTGGGACTGGAGCTTGGACGAGCTCGTGAATTACGATCTCCCAGCAGTGGTGGAGCAAGTTACTGCCAAAAGTGAGACGCAAAAAGTTGACTTTGTTGCGTATTCCCAGGTAAGTTTCTTTTTTCAAGGGTGATTGTTTCGTGAGATCTGGCTGGATTTCAGTCTTCTCAAGCGTTGTTGGGAGCATTCTCCGAGGGCAAATTGGTGGATCAAATCTCCAAGGCAGTGATGATAGCTCCTGTGGCTTATGTCTCGCACACAACCAGTCCAATTGCTCTCATAGCTACCAGGTTTAATCTTGGTCTAGTTCTCGTCGGCCTCAACATCTACGAATTCAATCCCAGATCGTAAGCTACTCGAGCTAAAATTCTATTTTTTCACTAGCTGGGTCTCCGACTTACAGGACTTCTGGAGCAAAGATCCTGGAAACTCTGTGCGTCACGGTCAACATTTGCGAGAGTGACATTCTATCACTGATAACAGGTCTGTGGAGCGCATGTTTTTGTTTCTTAAAAAACTAAAGCTTGGATCTCTCAAAGGCCCCAATTGCTGCGTTGACGACACAAGGATGGGATTTATAAACAAATACGAGCTCCAGTCGACCTCTGTCAAGAATTGGAACCATCTGGGACAGCGTAAGCCAAAAAAAACAAAAACTCATTTTTCCTAGGAAACAGTGTCATGCTGGCCGATCTTTTGCTCCTCCAGTGTTCCAGAAGAAAAGCTTCACCAAATTCGACTATGGCGAGAAGGAGAACCAGGAGCGCTATGGCACGAAAGGAGTGCCAGAGTACTTGCCCTCGAGAATTCCCACGGATATCCCGATGATGCTCATCCACGGCGGGAAAGATGCTCTGGCCGATCCAGACGACGTCCACAGGCTCTTGGGCGAGCTCAAACAAACTCCAGAAAAGGTCCTCTTCTTGCCGCACTACGCCCACTTTGACTTTGTTCTTGGGACAAGCGCGAGCAAAGACGTCTACGAGGGCATCGTCAACTTCTTGGAATCGTGAAGGGTTGACCAAGACGTGGACTTGTTCACTGGAGTGTTGACTGTATTAGTCAACTTGCTGCTAAAGACGCTTATCATAATAATGTCGATGTAGTATAGTGGTGAGTATTTCCGCCTGTCACGCGGACGACCCGGGTTCGATCCCCGGCATCGGCGAATAGCACAGCTTTTGCGCCTTTCACGAACAAGAAGCGATGTTTTTCCTTTCACGAGAGATGGGCGATCGCAATGGGACAAGAATAAGAATGTTCTTCACACTCTTTTCCCGATTGCGAGGGCTTCGATTGCGAGGATGGCGATGGCGAGAGCTGGGATTTTGATGGTTTTCTCGCTGGTGTTGGTATCCAAAGCCTGCGGTGACTGCCGGCTCACAGACATCTGGAGCTGCGTTCCAGCAGTGACCAAGCGGGTTGATCCAACCAGCGATTGCTGCGATCTTATCCAAGTGATCAGCCTCAATTGCCTGTGCTCCGCGGCGATCGGCCGAGACGCCGCTGCGCGAGGCGTGGATGTGCGGCGAGCCGTGGAGCTGCCGCTCAAATGCGGGCGAGAGGTCGGACTGGAATACACCTGCGCAGGTGAGAGAGAGATGAGAATTCAATCGTGTGAGCGATCGATCGGTGTTTGCTTTGCTTGTTCTCCAGGAATCCCGTTCAATGGCGGGAGATAGATCCCCGCGTACGGTAGAACTTTTTTTTCCGTGTTCTTTTACTTTACACAGTAATCTCAATCGCCATCGATCGAGCAATCCTTTACGAGTTGAAGAACTCCACGACTTTGGGGTAGACGAGATCTTTCGCGTTGTATGACACCACGAAGTCGAGATGCGCGTAGTCTGGGAGGAAGACGAGCTCGGGCTTGGATTGGAGCTCAGAGACGAGCTGCGCGACGTTTTGTGGAGCGGCGAGAGCGTCCTTGGCAGCGTAGAAGAAGAGGAACGGGATTGTTCTTGGGATGTTGGGAAGCGAGTACGTCGGGGGAGAGATCCAGCCGTAGCGGACGAGGTTTTGCCAGAATCCATAGTCAAACTTGTCGAAGCTCTTGCCTCGGAACTCTAGAAGTTTGTAGGAATCTCGTGAGCGAAGCGAAGTTGGCGAGAGAAAGAAAAGCGGGCTTACGTTGCGCGAGATGGCCAAAGTTCTTTGCGGATGTTGATTGAGGCTCGTAAATTTCGTAGTACGCTCGGCGTGTGTCATTGATGCAGCAATTTGGACCTGCGTGAATCAGAGTTCTTGGTGAAAGATGGCGACCTTTGATTCGAAATCGATCGAGAGAACGGACAACGTACCTGCGAGAAGCGTGACAAAGTTTTCGGTGCATTCTGGATCATCCGAGAGCTTGCAAAGGTACTCAGTCACAGGTTTGTTCTGACTGGAAAGAACAAAAAGAAGAAAAAGAGACAAAGTAAGAAAGATCCAGATACACATGAAAAGACACCGAGGACACGTACGCTCGGAGGCTGAATTCGTAGATGCCGAGCGATGCAATGAGCTACACAAAATTGGAAGAACATGAGAAAGAGTAGTGAAAGAACAGAGAAGAAAAAACACTATACCAGATCGAGATGAGTTTGAGCTCCAAGAGTGAGAAGCGAGGTTGCGTGATCAACATAAGCAACTGGAGCAAGCATCACAGCTTTTTCCACAATGTCAACGAGCCTGTGCTCGGAGAACGCTGCGAATGCCGCTTGAGTTCCCTGCTCAATAAAAGAAAAAAAGAAAAAAAGCCTGTAAGTCTCAAGAAAGACTAAAATTCTCTGAGCTCGATCGAAGCAGACACGAACAGAGCTCAAGAAAATCCTGAGAGACAAAAGAGCAAAACGAGAGAAAAGAAATCATTTCGATCGAAGAAGGCACGAATAGAGCTCAAGAAACTAGAAAATCCTGAGAAAAAAAATTCCCATACCTGTGAGTAGCCAACGTACAAGACCTTGCTGTTCGTTCTCGCGTAAACCATCTCCAGCATTGCCTGGAGATCATACGCCGAGAGCTCGTCCACGCTCCAATCCCAAAATTCCTATCAAAGAAGAAGAAGATCATGCCGGTGGAAGATTTTGGATGATCTTACCCTGTCCGATCTGCTGTAAGAGACATGGCCATAGCTGAATTCGCTGGTTCTCACATTGGCGATCCACACGTCGTGGCCAGCGTCGGCGAGGATGAACGCCAGAGACTCCGGAGGCGCATTGAGCACCCAAATATCCCCGCCCTAAAAAATGGAGGAGAGATTTAAGGGGAAAACGAAGAACCCTAAAACCCCTGTTCTTACAATGAGAATGCCATGGTTGAGGAACACTGGCTTCTTTCGCTCGCCAATGTAGTTCGCGCTCCACACTCTTTGCACGCCCAGAAGGAACCCATCCTTCGTCTCGACCTACATCGCCACCATCGATGATCCATGGATGAGAGAAACCCTCGAGAGAAATGGGATTCTTACAGCCAATTCCTCGCATTGGTATCCGTAAGGCTGGACGAGCTTCACGCAGAGACCGTCTGCGCGATTCAATCCTCCCCGGAATGTGGGCAGCGCGCGAGAGAATTGGATCTTCCAGCAGCAGAGGAGGACTGACAGCACGATGATTGGCGAGCTCATCTGGAAGAACAGGGGAAAGAATCTTTTCTTTCTCCCTCGGAATGAATCCACTCGAGAGAAAAACACGAGAACTCGCTCTCTTCCGGCGAAGATTGGTCCCTCCCTGGATCAATTAATGCCGCCGCTACTGGCAGAGCGAAAGGAAAGAATCGAGAGAAAATCTCTCGAAAAGCTCTGGATTGTACAAAGCCGTGCCAGTGCTGCCAGTGCCACCAGGGGAGGAAGAAAGAAAGCCAAACACTCACACGCGAATGTTTCTCTTTCTCGCTTTCCCCTAGCAGCGCATCAAATCGCTCGCTCGCGAAGAACTCCGCGAGGAGAGAGAGAGATAGAGGCGGAAAAATTTCTACTAACGAAAATCTCGCTCGCATCCACAAATCAGGGCTCGATCGCGCGAGGAGAGTAAGAGTTTGGTGGAAAGACAAGCAAACTTTGAGGTGGTGGTAGTACCATGGATCAATGCACTCTCGCACATCGCATTCCAATTACTACAGCGCTTTCTTTGTGGCACTGCGTTAGGTGGTAGAGCATTGATGGAAGAACCCTAAAACCAGGGGATGGAGCCTAGAAGCAGGGGAGCGAGGGAATTCTGTCCTGCCAGGCCTTTTTAATACCAATCCGCGTCGAATCCTGGCCGGAGTAGCATCAAAAAGTGTGCCCACGACCGGAATTCCAAGAACCATGCTGGAATTCAAAAACTATTTCCCCGGATTCCTCCCTGAGCGCTTTGATCTCGCGGGAATGGGTCTCCAAAGAGGAATCGGGGCTACCAGGATGCGTAGCTGCTCGCAAGCAGCACATAGGAAGCTGGGTCGTCGGCCTCGATGACGTTCCTGCCCGCAAATTTCCCTCCAGGCTCGTGGATCTTGCTTGCGCTCATCAATGCCGCCCACGCCACGCCATTGGGTTGATCCGGCATCCCCTCCGCGAGCTCCCGCGCGGTCGCCATCCTCCCAGCCCTCCCAAATCCATCGATCAAGCACACATAGTGCTCCCTGGACGCCTCCAATCCATAGTCGCGAGCCATGGACGCCGCGAATTCCCAACTCTCCTCCACCGATCCAGTCCGGCTGCACGCCGAGAGGAGAATCACGAAGCAAATCTCGTTGGGTCTCACTCCCTCCATCGCCATCTCCTGGAACATCGCGATCGCGGCCAGCAATCGACCCGACTGGGCATAGCCGGCGATCATCGCCGCCCAGGACACAACATTCCGGACAGGCATCGCGCCGAATAGCCGCTGGGCCACGCGCAGCAGTCCGTACTGAGAATATGCCGCGAGAATCGCCGTCCACGAGACGACGGTTCGATCCGGGATGGCATCAAACGCTCGCTTTGCCCCGCGCAGATCCCCGTTCTGGGCATATCCCGCCACCATGGTGTTATAAGTGGCATAGCTCTTCTCCACCATGGTGGCAACCAGCCTCTCCGCGTCCTCCATCTGGCCGCTCCGCGTATATGCTTGCACCATGGTGTTTTGTGCTACCACGTCGTACACCGGCATCTCGTCAAACAGTACCTTCGCATCTTCCAAATGCCCAGCTTGGGCATATGCTGCTAGTATGGTTGTGTAGGAACGAATGTTCCATTCTGGCATATTCTGGAATATTATGCTACCCTCATCGTTCCTGTGCGCTACTAGATATGCTTCTAAGAGAGTGTTATAAGAAATAAGATCCCACAAAGGCATTCTTTGGAAGAGATCATTCGCGCCATCGCAATGCCTTGTTCGGGCAAATGCTGCGATCAAAGTGTTCCATGAAACAACGTCTTTCTCTGGAATAGAATCGAAGATCTCCTTCGCCTCGGTGGATCTCCCGGAGTTTCCATAGGCCTGAAGCATCGAATTCCACGAAATCACGTCCCTCTCGCCCATGGAATCGAACAAGAGCTTGGCATTGTCGACATAGCCATGGCGAACAAACACCGCGATCATGATGTTCCAGGAGAAGAGATTGGGCGATTCGATCGCGGCAAAGGTCGCACAGGCATCCTCGAGCGCGCCACACTGGCTATACGTTTCAATCAAGAGATTGCTGAGGTATCTAGAGCTGCTTGCTTCGCTCGATCGGATCGATGCGTGGATCTGCCTTAGGGCAGCCAGATCTCTCGCGCGCCCACAAGATTGGACAAGCGCTGCGAGATTGTCCTCGAAACTCCTAGCCAAGTTTCGTGCCATCTTTGATAATTCAAAAAAAAAAAGATACCCGTGAATATTCTCGGTGCTGAAGAGATTAGGGTTAGGGTTCTTGAGGGATTGGAGACGGCAGAAAATCGATCGATGGCAGCGCTTCTGGGGATCGGCCGCAGGCTCGGGCTGGCGCCATCGGCGTCTAGATTTGGATCCACAGCAGGTTCTCAAGCGCGGTTTTACGCCAAGTCAAGCTACGCCGAGGAGCACAAGGGTGGGATGGGCGACAAGCTCATCAACGGTGCCATTTTCGGATTGATGGGCGTGATGTCGGTCTTGGTGGTGAATTTCTGGCGGCATCCTCCCCACGCCGCTCACGAACACCACGAGGATTAGCGAGAAGTCAAATCTTTTGGGGGTCCGCCAAAGATCACTCCAATTTTTCATAAAGGATGTGCTTGCTCGCGGGAGGTAATGCTTGTTACTTTGCTTGATTCTTGGAGAAGAACTACTTACCACCATGAGACAAAGCTTCTTTATTTTTTTTTTCGTTGACTCACCTTATTGAATAAAAGGTGTTTTAGTTGAAACTTTCGCGTCAGCACAGGAACTTAGAACACTCTTCCGCGCTGACCAGCAAAACATTCTCCGGGTTTGTTTGTCCTGTTGGTTGAAAGTTGCCATCGATTTTGTTCTAGTTGACTGCAGTTCCTCGCGATTAAAGTCGCGTTGTTGGTGAGCGTACGCCGGTGAAACAAGAACTCCGCGCAATCGCTGTGACTCATCGCCACTTTCACTCGTATATATAGAACAAGTTCCTCACTTGCTGGCAACATTACAGCGCTTCTCGAGTTCGTTCTTCAAAGAGCTTCAGTCCAGTTCTCTTTTGGAAGAGTTCTTTTCTTGAAGTTTCTTTCGAGAATGACGATGATGGCTGCAGCAATGAGCTCGGGTCGATCAATCAACACGCGGTCGTGGCCGATAGGCGATGTTGGCGACGCTCGGCGAGGTCGTCCCATGTCCTGGAGGACGACAACGCGTGCGGTGAATGGAAACGCTGTCTTGGCTCCCGAGAGATTTCCTGGCTCTGGCTCGCTGCTCGAGCGCTCGAGCTACTGCCCTCGAAGGAACGTGGAGAGTTTCAGTATCAGAAGCTACGAAGTGGGAGAAAATCGCAAAATTTCAATTGCAACTCTTGCTAATCTTCTCCAGGTACGTGATGTTCTCTTTTCCTGTTGCGTTGTTTCTTGGTGATCACACTTTGCATTTTTATGCAGGAGGTGGCTTGCAATCACGCTCGTAATAACGGCTTCTCTGTGGACGGCTTCGCGACCACTCTGTCAATGAGGAAGTATGGATTGATATGGGTTATCACACGGATCCAGATAGAAGTCGAGGAGTATCCTAAATGGTACTAGAACTTTGATCAATACTGCTGCTCTTTGTGCTCAAAAGCTGATCGATTTTTTTCCTTGTTCAGGGGAGACAACATCGAGATTGATTCATGGTTCCAGTTCCAAGGCAAAAACGGTACTAGACGGGACTGGAGAGTGACAAACACGAGAACCGGAAAAGTGATCGCAAGAGCTACGAGGTAAGTTCTTTCAAGTCTAAAAGAAACTTAGCCAGAAGGATTTTTAAAAAACAATTTCTTGCAGCACTTTTGCTCTGATGAACCAGCAGACTCGTCGCTTGGCTCGAATCAATGACGACGTTCGGAACGAGTTTTGCCTTTACGTCTTGCATCCTCCAAGGTGAAGAAAAAAACAATTTTTTGAAGAGATCTCGTGATAAATAAGATCTGTTTAATTGTAGTTGGGTTTTCGTGGACGACGCTGTCACTAAGCCAATCTCCAAGCTCAGCGAGTACCAGCACGTCAAAGAGAACTTAAAAGTAAGTATCACAATTCGTCTTGAAAAGTTTGTGTCCCTAGATTCATTGTGTTCTCCTCTTTGCAGCCCTCTCTTGCGGACTTAGACATGAACCAACACGTAAACAACGCAACTTACATGAACTGGATACTCGAGGCAAGTTCATTTCACTCGATCCAATCTCCAGACAACAGAACTAATCTAATCTTCTCTTCTCCAGAGCTTGCCCCGGGAAGTTTACAGCAAGAACGAGCTCCACTCAATGACGCTCGAGTTTAGATGCGAGTGCAAACGAGAAAACACGATCAATGCCTGTTCCAGCCTCGAGATCAATGACACGAACGACGAATCAAGCTCCACTTTCACGCACCTCTTATATCTGGTTGGTAGCAACAAAGAAGTGAGCAGGAGTCGAACAACGTGGAGAAAACCAAGCTTTTAAAAAATTGATAAATTCTTGTTCAGTTCAGTTGAAGAATTTTGGCTTTAGCAAAATCCTCATTGAAGACTAGATGTTTGGGTTATTCGAAAGACAGGCTATACCAGCAAGTGCAAGACTATCCTAAACCAGCAAGAGCAAGATGAGGCATTTAATAGTTTTTAAGTTTAATATATATTTATAGTATTTTATTTATATTTATAAAATATTTTCTTCAAAAGAATATTAATTTCACTTTGTGAATGCATGGAACATACAAAATTAATTAGCCCAAAAACCTTAATTTATATATAGGAGCGAGTGGTCCAAATTGAAACCAATCTAATAGCTACCAAAATCCTATTATATTAATATTACCTTAGATCATCCCCTCCTCTCGGAATAATAAAAGCCCATTAAGGTTTTCTCAAGATCTGGAAAAACATCAAGAAAAGGCATTAGTGGATTTGTAGGTGGTGCCAATTATTTCTAATCCCTTTGTACAAAGTGTTTTAACTACTGTATATGCACAATTTTTGGAGGATTTATCTACTAAATGTAATGCCAAACTTTATAAACTTGCAGTCCAATTTACACAACACTTGATATGGTCCTTTCCACTAAACAAGGAGCCTCTTAGATAAACCATATACCATAAGATAGGGAAAATAGACTAACACCAAATCATCTATTTTGTATTTCACAAGTGGATGATGATAAAAGTTGTAGTGTTGTTGTTGTCCCACTTGTATGTGGCTCAGGTGTCCATCAAACTCTGCTCGGACAAATGGAAAAATGCTCGTCAAATATTGATCTTACGACCTTGCATCGGCTGCCCGTGGCAATGGTGAACATAAGCCCAACTCTGTTAGTAGTATTGAATCATGACCATATAAGAGTTTATATGGTGAAGCACCAACAAAACTTTGCACCCTTATGACATATGCATACTGAAGAGATGGCAAATAACCATCCCAATGTGAATGCTGAAAGTTCATATATTTCGTGATCATCTTTTTGAAGGTTTGAACAAGTTATTCTACCAAACCATCTGACTGTGGATGATAAACACTTGTGAAAATGTGGTATATCCTCAACCAAAATATTAAAAAGTGAAATACCTTAGCCATAAATGCAAAACCATTATCTAACGAATCCGCTCCGAACAAAAATGTTGGAACACCACTCAATTGAGGAGGAAGTATTCAACAGCAGTTGTAAATTGGCTAGCAAGAGCACCAACTTCCACCCAACGAGTCAAGTAGTCACAAGCAATAATGACATACTCATTGCCAACAATTGATCGTGGAAAATGTTTCATCAAATCAAATCCCACCAACTCAAATAAACGGGAAATTGCAATTTACTCTAACTACCCGTCTACAGCATGAAGAAGAATATTACGAACTTGGCACTAAACATAATTATACACATATTGGATAACACCATGGCACATTTTCGGCCAATAGAAATATTTATGTATAAGCTCTTGAGTTTGGACTTCTCGGGAGGTCATCCAGCCCAGTACTATTCAAATTCAAGGACACTTAACCCCAAATATCCCAAAACCCTTAACCGATTAGAAAAGGGGGTGCACTCTTATTCATGGGCCCTTTCCCTCTATATTTGAACCCCATGGATCGTGTCTCAAGTCATTCCCTTTGGTTGCTTACAATCCACCACGCTTCCCTACAAGTTCACGCCCTCGTGAACAGAAGCTGAGAGCTGTAACTCTCCTAAGAGCCCCACTCTCTTGACACCCTACCCCTCAGGTCGAGCCCAACAGAGCAAACTAGACCTGCCAGATGTCAATCAACATGTGGTGTGATTCCCCTAAGCCAACCAACAGAGTCGAGCCCAGCAGAGCAAACTGGACCTGCCAGATGTCAATCAACATGTGGTGTGATTCCCCTAAGCCAACCAACAAAGTCGGACCCGAGACCGCTTGGATACCCTAAGCCAACCAACAAAGTCGGACTCGAGACCGCTTGGATACTAAATGTAAGCTCCTGCCAGATGTCAATCAACATGTGCTGTGATTCCCCTAAGCCAATCAACAGAGTCAGACCCGAGACCGCTCGGATACCAAATGTAAGCTCCTAAGTTTGGACTTCCCGGGAAGTCACCCAGCCCAGTACTATTCAAACCCAAGGACACTTAACCCTAAATATCCCAAGACCCTTAACTGATTGGAAAAAGGGGTGCACTCTTGTTCATGGGCCCTTTCCCTCTATATTTGAACCCCATGGATCGTGTCTCAAGTCATTCCCTTTAGTTCTTTACATTATGCATCTTCTTGATTACATAACAATGTCCTATATACCCCCCTAAAATAGGAGAATCATGGTAAGCATGGAGAAAATATAGAATAAAGATCAAAGGCACCACCAACCGTAAATGATCATCAGAATCTATCCCCACAAAATAAATAAGACCGTCTTTAAAGTGATATTGAGAATGTAAATGCTGGAATAGCAAGTCATCAGCAAGTGATACAAGATTCTCAAACCCATTTCGAAGCCTTTGAATCCATGGCTTTAATTTAAGCCTTGCGAACCTCATCAAGTGAAGGTAGATCTTGCTCTGCACTTTGTGAACACTGAATATCAAATACAACAACCGCCGATAGTATAGAATTCTCATTTAGAAAATCCATAGATGCTAGAATAATAAAATCGTTAGAAACATGAGAAGAGAGCAAAGAAGGAAAAGGAGCTCAAGAAAGAGCATCAGTATCAGCCATAGAACTCCCCGAGTGATGAACAACATCAAAATCATATATTTTAAACTTCAAAACTACCGAGTAGTATGACCAACTAGATTCTTTCGCTTTAATAATGAAGTAATAGTAGCATGATCACCTTTTAATAATGTTCGAAAACTATATAGATATGCATGAAGTTTCTCAAAACCCTAGACTGCTGCTAAACACTCCTTCTCTATCGTGGAGTAGTTCACCTCTATTGGTTGTAATATATAACTTATATATACAATGGGACAGCGCTAACTAAGCATACTCAGGCTCTTTTGCATCAACACACTTCCAAGACCAATATTAGAAGTAGCTACATGCAAAATGAAATATCGAATGTAATTAAGATATGCCAAAACTGGGGGAATCGTCAATAACTCTTTGAGATCCATGAACGCCCGCTTACAATCTGCAGATTAAATTTATTCACGCAGGTCCCTTCGTTAATCATGCAACTCCTCATTTCCCAGATGCATCTTAGTGTCTAGACCTTCTACTGCAATAGCACCAACAAAACGTTGTTAACGCCAAGATCTCCACCCAGAAAATGGAGACTATCAATCTGGAAAATGCCAACAACGCTGATAAGTGTGACCAACTTCATCATACACCCAACAATGAACATCATGGCTATGACCACATTTTCACCCTTGTCTTTAAACTCGAGAAGCAACAACATTAACCTTTATTAGAACAGAACCATCTCCCATATGAAGTGGAGCTGAAGGATGTGCAGCAAGAAGTGGAAAAGGCAACGTCTCATAACGTTGTGCCAAGCGAAGGGCATCATCAATGGTGTCTAGAACAAGTGTATGCACAAATCCTACAAGAAATTGACAAAATGCTAGCCACAACATTCCTAGCTTAATCTGCTTTGACATATTTGGCTCCACATGTTGCAAGAGGCTTCAGAAACAAATGTCAAATTGCATTATCAACTCAGATGACCTTTGACGAAGATGATACAATTGTTGGAAGGCATTATCATAATCATTAGCATATCCGAATGTGCGTTTGAAGATGTTTGGGAGAATACTCTAATCCCCATGAGTGGTTGCACTTAAACCATTATACTATTGTAGTGTTGTCTATTAGAGACACATGGGAAACTCATGCAAACATCGAGCATCATCCCAAGAATGATATGTGGCAATCACCGTGAAGTGATAAACTCATGGTATACATTATCCCCATAATTCTCACAAAAGAACTCTAGCTAAACACAAGGATTGACACCAAAAGCAAGAGGAGTTATACCACATGCCGTGAATACCATCATTAATTGAGTTTGGTTTTTTAATTGCAATCATATAACCTCAAATAATTCCACCAATTGCTGCTCCAAAATCAAAGGAGGAGGAGATTACTACTTTGCCATAAAGATGAATGAAAAAGAAAGAGCAAAAAAAGAGAAATAAGAAAAAACATTACAAGGAAAAAGAGATCTAAACAATGAAAAAGTTAAATCTAAACCAAATTCCTGAAAGGAAAGAATAAAAGAAAAAAAATGGAAAAAGCTAGATCTAGATAATGGAAAAGCTAAATCTAAACCAAAATTCTAAATTCAAACACTCCTCAGGAATAATCAAAAGTGCCCCTCACCTCCACCAATGTAAGTGCATAGAATATAGAAAGGAAATACAAGAAATATGCATATCAATTAGCCCAAAAACCTTAGCTTATATATAAGAGTGAATGGTTCAAATTGAAACCAATCTAACCACTATCAAAATCCCACTATACTAATATTATCATATGGCATTGTAGCCGTACACTTGGACCTCATAACTTCATTTAGAATATCATCTTCATTTTATAAATTGCTTCTAGTAATTAATTAGTATTATAATTATTTTATCACCTTTAATTAGACTACTCTATTTGAAAGTAGCCAAAATCTTCAAATAAACATATTTAGAACCTATTTATAATTTGAACTATGAACTATGTTAAATCAGTACATGGTTCTATAAGAGGCTCCTTACTTAGTGGAAAGGACCGTATCAGGTGTTACGGCAAGTTGAACTGCAAGTTTATGAGGTTCAGCATGACGTCTAATAGGCCAATCCTCTAAAAATTGTGCATGTATAACAGTTGAAATGCTTCGTACAAAGGGATCAAGAACAATTAATACCACCTACAAATCCACCGATGCCTCCTCTTGATGTTCCTCTAGATCCCAACTCATCTACAAGAGAATTTTAATGGTCTTCCATTATTCCGAGAAAAGGGGATGATATGAAGTCTAAATGTATAGTTTTGATACTGTATACTAATATTAACGTAATGAGATTTTAGTACCTATTAGATTGTTTTCAATTCAGACCACTCTATAAGCAACAAAAAAAAAATGACTTGAGAGACAATCTATAGAGTTCAAATATAGAGGGAAATGGCTCATGAATAAGAGTGCACCCATTTTTCTAATCGATTAAGGGTCTTGGGATATTTGGGGTTAAGCGTTTTTGGGTTTGAATAGTACTGGGTTGGGTGACCTCCCAGGAAATCCAAATTCAGAAGCTTACATTTGGTATCAAAGGGGTCTCAAGTCCAATTTTGTTGGTTGGCCAAGGGAATCACACCACATGTTAATTGACATTTGGCTGGTCTAATTTGCTCCCGCTGGGCTTGACCCAAGGGGTAAGGTATCAAGAGAGCGGGGCTCTCAGGAGAGCTGCAGCTCTCAGCTTTTGTTCATGAGGGTATGAACTTGTAGGGAAGTGTGGTAAATTATAAGGAACTAAAGAGAATAACTTAAGAGACGATCCATGGGGTTCAAATATAAAGGGAAAGGGCCCATGAATAAAAGTGCACCCCTTTTTCTAATCGGTTAAGGGTTTTAGGATATTTGGGGTTAAATGTCCTTGGGTTTGAATATTACTGAGCTGGGTGATCTCCTAAAAAGTCTAAATTTAAGAGCTTACACACTCGTTCTTGTATATAAGTTAAGGTTTTTGGTAATTGATATGCATATTTTTTGTATTCCCTTCCTATATTCCACACACTCACAAGTTAAAAGTTAATCTAATTAAAATATATATTTATTTATTATTAATTTATTCATTTTAATTTAAAATATAACTTTGAGTTTGAGGTGTATAACCACAGTTTAATATAATATTATTAGCATAATGGGCCTTTACTTGCTTAGAGTTTTGTGTTAATTTAATATGTACCAATGAGTAGTAATTATGATTGTGTTTAAATATATGCATTTAGTTTAGATAAATTTACTTAGCTTTTTTCATTTCTTCTCTTTTGAATTTCTTCTTTATTTTATTTAACAATATACTCCTCCTTTCTTCTCCTCCTCTAATTTTAAAGTAGTAATTGATGTGTTTGTAGCTAAATAATTAGACTCAATTGAACATAATGTTCATGGCACATAATGTACCAAATTTGACTATGGGAATCCTAAGTAGTAAGGTAATCAAGTGATGATAATTGCCACCTATCAGTCTTATGATACTACCTAGGGTTTACATGAGTTTTTCAAATATGTCCAATGATAACATTATAGTACTTTTGTAGGTTTGAGCCTTTTCCCAAAGGTCTTCAAATGCACATTTGAACATGCTAATGACTATGACAATGCATACTTTTGGCTTCATGGTTCACTGCTAGAATCTCAGCCCAGCTAAATCAAGCTTCTCAACTGGCACTTTGGGTCATGCCCTGAGCCTTAACGTGACAAGAACTTGACAAGTTAAAACCAGAACCAAAGAAATTCTTGGCAACTCTCATGAATATGAAAAGCAACCAAGATTAATATGAAAATCTATAACATAATTCTGTGAGCCAAGAAAGAAAAATCAAAGAAGAAATCTAGATCGATGCCAAATAATGGAGACAAGTCTTTTTGAGCCACTACAGTTAATTAGCTATAGAAATATGCTAAGGGGAGGATATGCACCAAGAGGTTTAGCAAATCACTGGGATGAACATGTTTCACAAACATACAGACCACATTACTAGACTTTTTGGCATGGACTCAAACCCGCTTTCACCCTCTAGGCATGACTACATACTTTTAAGTCTTATGAGTATTGTGACAGTGTCCATTTGTAAACCAGCCTGTTCCCATCCATTGCCAAATTCGCAAACTCAATGATGCCTAGCTTGATGGTGCGGCAACTAAGGTAACACCATCTGGAGCACACCACGCTGTTGTATTAATGCTGAAAAAGAGACACCATAGTTGAACACATCCAATCCAAGGCTACTGAACTCTCTCCATTTTCCATGTATCATTTTGACGTTGAAAGCATATACATTTCCAACGATGTATTCCCCACAAAATGTGCTTATCTGGAGGCAAAGTCCTCTTTTCTCTGTCCATGTTATTGAATAAGTGCAGAGCCACCAAACCAAGCATTTAGATGTTTCACGATACAGCGCTTCATTGTGTCTCTCCGTAGCATGTCTTGTGTATGAATAGTCACTTTCTTTCTACGTATACTCTGAGTATTTCTCCCCGCGTGAAGGGAAGAATTTTACCTATAGTCACAACTTGGAGCGGGAGCGAGTAACTTGGAGCAGATCCTTGCGAAGAATTTTCCCTGTTGCTGACTTTGGAATCGAGGGTACAAAAGTCACTGCCCGGATCCTCTTATGAGAAGCGACCTGGGATAAAAAGGCAAGAATAAAGATCACTGGAGAAAGGAAACTGTGCTTTTTACCTGTCTCGCAATGAAATCCATAACTTCGTCTTTCGAGAGCGATTTTCCTTCTTCGCCGGATCCACGAACAACGCAGGCGAGAGGAATCTCACCAGCATCATCATCCGGGTACCTGGAAGAATATTTAAAACACGGCGTTGGCAAAAGATAAAGGTAGAAAATGGTGGTGTCTGCTTACGGAATAACGGCTGCGTCGGCAATGCCTGGATGAGCGAGAAGAAGAGCTTCCAGTTCCGCAGGAGCAACCTGGAACCCTTTGTACTTGATGAGTTCCTTGAGCCTGTCGACGATGAAGAGGAAGCCATCGTCGTCGAAGTAGCCAATGTCTCCGGTGTGGAGCCAGCCCTCTGGATCGATGGTGGCGGCGGTGGCGGCAGGATTGTTGAGGTAGCTTTGCATGATGCAAGGGCCTCGCAGCCAGAGCTCGCCTCGAGAGTGTGGAGGCAGTGGCTTGCCCGCATCCACGTCCATGACTTTGGCTTCGTGGTTCGCTGTTAGAAGCCCGGCCGAGCCGAATGGAGCTTCTCCACTGGCACCAAGACCAGTTGTCTCAGTCATGCCGTAAGCCTTGAGTGACAAGAACTTGAAAGTTAGAACCAAAACCAAGGAAAATTCCTGGACAACTCTGATGAACACATGCAAAAGTTCTAAGAACCAAAGAAATTCTTGGACAACTCTGATAAACACGAAAAGCGAACCAAAATCATGCAACAGTTCTATGAGCCAAGCAAGGAAAATTGAACAAGAAAACCATGAAGAACGAAGAACGTACCTGACTAAACTCTTGGATTTGTGGAAACTTTGCTAGAAATGCTTCCAAAGTTTCCTTGGCCAGTGGAGCAGCGCCCGATGCGGCCCTCTTCAAAGAAGATAGATCGTAGCTTTCCACAGCTGGGTGCTTGAGGAGCGCGACCACGATCGGCGGCACCATGGGCAGACTAGTGATCTTAAATCGCTGGATGCACTGGAGCATGTGGAGGAGGTCGAATTTCCTGACCACCACCATCGTCGCGGCGAGATAGATCATCATGCAGCCGCTATAGATGAGCCCGGCGATGTGGAAGAGCGGCAAAAGGATGAAGGTCACGACCTTGTCATCGTTGTCCTTGGGCTTAGAGGCGAGGATCGAGACCGCGGCGATGAGATTTCCATGAGAGAGCACCACGCCTTTGCTCGGCCCCGTGGTCCCCGACGAGTAGAGCAGCGCCGCTGGATCGCCCTGCCGGATTCTCACCGCGCTAGGGAATTTTCTCTCATCCACGCCGAGGAGGCTCTCGAATCGCACGAAGCGTGGATGATCCCGGAAGAATTTGGCGCCGGCATTCTCCCCGTCGAGGATCACCGTAGGGAAACCCTGGTCGTTCTTGCCGATCTTGGCGATCAGGTCCGGCATCGTCACGACAAATCCCGCCCTGGAATCTCGCAGCTGGCGCTCGATTTCGGCAGCGGTGTTGGCCGGATTGGCCGTGGTCGCGACGGCGCCGATGGAGAGAATGGCGGCGAAGAGGATCGGGAAATACACCGTGTTGCCGAGCAACAGGAGGACGACATCACCTTGGGAGACTCCGAGAATCGATGAGAGGCCCGACGCCACGGATTTGGCGAGGCGCTGGAAATCGCCGCAGTGGATCGTGAAGCCGGTGGTGGAATCGACGAGCAGCGGCGACGAGGAGTTGGATGGATCGGCGAGAGGCCCCGAGAAGAGCAATGCGGGGAGGCTGTGATGCGTTTGGAGAGGAATCGGGACTGGAGGGAACAAGCTGCGATAGATCCCGTCCTCTCCATAGCCGCCTTTTACCTCCGCCATAGCCATAGCCGGGAAAATATGATATGAACTCTAGGTTAGGGTTTTAGCGCATGGATTGTGTCTGGAAGGAGTGATGGCGGCTCAAGCTCGCGCTGTGGCGCTGTGCTCGCGCGATCGGCAAGAACGCGAGCGCAAGAGATCATCTCAACAGGTACTTGCATTTTCTTTTGGTGTCTAGAAGATTTCAAACTGTTCTATCAGCTACCAGCAGATCTCGTACCGCAAGCGATGGCGAGAGAGTGTCTTCGAGCTCGCGTTGTGACGATTGTCGGCAAGAACGCGAGAGAAAAAGATAATCTCACAGGTGCTTGGCCAGGCTTGTATTTTTCTTTGGTGCTATTTTGCTTGTCTTAGAAGAAGTCAAGCTGTTCTATCAGCCGTGGCGTGGACTAGCGAATCTCGTGGAAGAAAAAGGCCGTAGGTCTGTCAAGAGTTATTTTTTTCTCTGTGTCGAGCCAAGATCTAATTGGCAAATCTTTGATTGTCTGTTTTCTTTGCACGAGCTTGGCGGACGCATGAAGATAGGTATGATTTTTTCGTTTTGGCACTTCATAAGTTCGTCGTTTCGTGATTTCAGTATTTAACTTCTGTGTCAGATAGAGCTCCCAAATTCTATCGAGCTGCAAACTTTGATTAAGCGAAAGAGAAAGAGGCCGAATGGACCTGGGAAAATAAAGAAAGGCATCGCGATCGTGCCACACCTGTCGTTTGCCAGAGAAAGACGGGGAGATATGAGAGGAAAAAACTTTTTTGCGGCATTAACATCTTCTACCAAACGAGACGCTGTCCAGACCCACTTTTGACAAATTTCGCAAAGTCAGCCGAGACACGGCTAGCACTCAATGGTGCTCCGCAAAGATATGGTTGCAGAAATTATCCAGGTACGAGCGCGCACTCCCTCTATCAACTTGAGAGGAATTTCCTGCTTAAATCTTGCTCACCCATGTTTTTTTCTCTCCAGACAATCCGAGTTTGTTGATCCAAAGTTCTATCCCAGCGGGTCTCTCTAGAAGACGAGCGAAAGAAGAATGGTACGATTCCCTCCACCAGCAGCAGCAGCAGCAGCAGCAGCAGCATATCTTCTGTTTCTATTCAGTACCAGTAGCTTTGTTCTCGGCAAAAGGTATGAGCTATCGCCCGGCTGGACTGCTGTGAACAACGAGAGCTTGAAAGGGGCTGGAAGCGATGGCGGTTCTAGCTATCGGATTTTAAGAGCTGGGGAGGATCCTATAGTCAGTGACAATGGAAGCTTTAGCTTGGCCTTCTACGACCCCCAGGGAACGAACAGATACTTCCTGTGTGTGCTGCTCAACGTTGGGAAATCCAAGCCAGCTCCAGCCTCTCTCGTGGTTCCAATCTGGATTGCAAACTCCAACTCGTCATTCTCCGGCAAGGCAACTCTGATGCTCACAGGAACGCACAAAAAGTTCATACTTCTCGACTCCACCGGGACTTTGAAGTGGAGCAGCGGTAGCGTGGTCGGAATCTCCAGCTTGGAGCTCGATGAGACAGGGAACTTGATGCTGATCAGCGAAGATGGCAGCGTTCTCTGGCAGAGCTTCGAGCACCCGACGAATGTTCTCGTTCCAGGACAGACTTTGCGGCCGGGAATGTCGATCACAAGCGTCAACTCGAGCTCCCAGCAGCCGGGACCGTTTAGAGGCACTATGGAAGCGAGTGGCTTCGTGTTCTACGTTCTTCCAGAGACGGAGCCGACCATGGCCGATATGCTTCGCAAGCCGCAGCCGTATCAGGTGTGGAGCGTCGGTTCTAGCAGCAGCAGCCTCGAATCCGCCTTGAAGGTTTGCGACTCTTCCAAGGCGGTGATGGCCGTGACAAGCAGCGGCATCGTGATCTCCTACGAGCGTTCCAGCGGCGGCGAGTGTGGCGGCGATGGGAAATCCTTACAGGTGTATAGAAACGACGAGGATACAGCAGCGGAGACCCAGTACTGGAAGCTCGAGGAAAATGGCGACTTTGTTCTTCGCGGGTTCCACGAGCGGGAGCAAAACTGGGCGACGGTGTTCGCTCTCTCGACCCGGGCCAACGATTCGTGCAAGCACCCGACCGCGTGTGGGAGCTACGGGCTTTGCAACAGCCAGGGGAAATGCCAGTGCGTGGGAAACAAAGAACTGGACGATCACACCTCGCTTTCTTGCGGCGCTCCGTCCGGCGTCTCGGCCTCTTGCCTCGCGAACGAGGCCGCGAACCACCACTTCGTGAAGATCCCCTCCGCGACTTACTTCTCCAACGCGTTCTCCCGGCCGGATCTCCGCAGCTCGTCGCTGGAGGATTGCTCCGCCGCGTGCGCGTCCAATTGCTCCTGCGCCGCCGCGTTCTTCAGCCGGCGCGGCGGCGGCGATTGCTTCCTGGTGGACGAGGTCATGGGCAGCTTGAGCTTGGTAGGGGGCGGCGCTGGAGCGGAGGAGGGGGATTACACGGCGCTGGTGAAGATCCAAAACGCGCAGCTCATCTCGGCGCCACTGTCCGCTAGCCGGGGGAAGGGTCCGAGCAAATCCGCGCGGACTGCCATCATCTTCCTGGCGGTGCTGTGCGGTGTTCTAGCGGTGATGCTGGCGGCGGGCGGCTACATTATCAAGATCAAATATCCCCACGCTTACAACAAGATGATGACGTGATCGACGTGATTTTCAAATTTAAATGTCAGAATATGCTTGTGTCTAGGGGTTTGAGGTGGCAGTCACAAGCTGACATGTCTGATGACGGCACGCGTTTGTGTGACTGCCACGTCAAGCCCTAGACACAGGTGGCAATAATGCCAGATGACATGGCACGAGTGACGTGGCATTCTTTATTACTTGCAGTTCCCGCCGACCTGTGCTTCAAAGGTACTGTGATCAATGAATGCCAAAATCGAGGGAGTGAATGCCCTGGCTATTAGGTCAACCAGTCTAGATAGATCCCTTGTTGGATTGGAGGGCGGAAGAAGCCAGCGATGCCGCCACCGATTGCGAGTAGAAATCTCCATTCCATCTCCGCCATTCTCCTCCTGCTCTTGGCCGGGCTCACAGGATCGCGGCGAGCAGCGAATGCGAAGAGGTATGATCTTCCTCCGGGCTGGATGGGGAACAACACCCGGGGCGCGCTCACTGAGATCCGTCTCTCGGATGGGTCTTTCTATCGGATCCTCAAGGCGCCATTGATCGGCGGTCAAAGGCATGATCTAGAGGATGTTACCAGCGACAATGGCACATTTGCCCTAGCCTTCTTCCATCTCCACGGTGGCTTCTATCTCGCGGTGGTGCTCCAGGCCCCTGGCCATGGCGAGATCTCTTCTTCGTCTTCCTCTAGCAGTGCCATTCCAGTGTGGATTGCGAACAGGGGTGGCGCCGTGGATGACAATGCGACGCTGCTGCTCACTCCCCAGAACGGCAAGATCATCCTCCTCGATTCCTCTCATAACTTCCGGTGGGGGCCAAATTCGGAGGCGATCGCGGGCGTGGAGCTCTTGGAGTCCGGGAATTTAGGGTTCTTCACGGCACAGGGCGCGGTGGTGTGGCAGAGCTTCGAGCTCCCGCAGGAGGTGATCCTTCCCGGCCAGGCTCTCAAGCCGGGAATGCAGCTCACAAGCAGCGGCACGAATCGATCCAGCCTCTACACGGCCCAGATCCACGGCGATGGATTGGTCTTGAGCGCTGGAGATCCCAAGATGATCGTCCCACAGCCCTACTTCGCCTGGAGATTGAAGGAGAAGTGTGATGGATCACCGGCAGTTCTAGTATTCACCGGCGCAGAGATCACACTCTCCTATCCAGGCGCTTGCCGATCGCTGGCACTCTCCATCCCGCTCAACACCGCCGATCCTATTCTTCTCCCCTTCCTGCGCCTCAATCCAGATGGCGATCTCGTCGCTTACAAATTCCATCCTCGATCCGCGACCTGGGTGCCCGGATTCCAGCTCTCGGCTCTCCAGCCCGATTCGTGCAAGCTCCCCGACGCGTGTGGTACCTACGGCATTTGCGAGCTCGGGGGCAAATGCCGGTGCCTGGAAGTCCCACACCGCGGCGGCGAAAGCTACCGCGAGGGCGCGCCGTCAGCTGTACCGTGCGGTACTGCGCCGCCACTTGGCGCACCGCACGGGCTACCGCAGGCCGACCAATGCGCCGACGAATACGTCAACCACCACTTTTTAAACGTGAGTGGCGTGAGCTACTTCGCGGTACCGTTGGCGGTACCCGATATGCGCGGCGCGTCGCGCGAGAAGTGTGCCGCGGCGTGCCGCTGGAACTGTAGCTGTGCCGCGCTGTTCTTTGATAACCGGACTGGGGAGTGTTTCTTCGTGCTGGACGAGATCTTGGGCAGCTTGACGATCGATCCCGCGCGGAGCTCCAGCATGATCGCGATGCTCAAGTTCTCGAACAGCCGGATCCTCAAGGGGCCGCAGTGGGGCGCTACTTCATCGCCGGCGGGGATGGAGAGAGCAAAGAGGGCGATTCTCATCGCCGCCGTGGCTGGCGTGACAGGATTCGCGATGATCTCTCTGGCGGTCTGCCTGGTGATCGTGCTCGCGCGGCGGTCGAGATCATCCACCCAAGCGAATCTGGAGGAGATGGAGCTGGATCTCGTCTTGAGCGGCATCCAGGGGCTGCCACAGCGATTCCAATACTCCGTTCTGGAGGCCGCGACGTGGGGATTCTCCAGGAAGCTTGGAGCTGGAGGATTTGGCTCGGTCTACGAGGGATTCCTGGAGGATGGCAAGAGAAGCATCGCGGTGAAGAAGCTCGAGGGCGCCAGCGCGCAGGGCGCGCGGCAATTCATCGCCGAGGTCGCGACCATCGGCAGCATCAGCCACATCAACGTCGTCAAGCTCTGTGGATTCTGCGTGGAGGGATGCCACCGGATGCTCGTCTACGAGTTCATGCCCAATGGCTCGCTCGATCGCTGGCTCTTCGTCTCGAATCAAACACCGGAGCATCCGCGAGGAGTCCTGAGCTGGGATCGCCGGGTGGAAATCGCGCTGGGCACTGCTCGCGGGCTGGCCTATCTCCACGAGGAATGCCGCGAGCCCATAATCCACCTGGACGTGAAGCCCCAGAATATCCTCCTGGATGAACGGTTCGTGGCCAAGGTCGCGGATTTCGGAATGTCCAAGCTGCTGGGCGGCCGCGATGTGAGCCACGTGGTGACGTGCGTGAGGGGGACGCCTGGTTATTTGGCCCCGGAATGGCTGCTCCATTCCATCGCGACCAAGAAATGCGATGTCTATAGCTTCGGCATGGTTCTCCTGGAGATCATTGGCGGGCGGAAGAATCTCGAGGTTTCCAGGATGAACAGCGATCTGGCGTGGTACTTCCCGGCGTGGGTCGTGAACGAGGTCAGGGAGGGGCGATTGATGGAGATTGTGGACGAGAGGATTAGGGCTCTTGTGAGCGAGAAGGCGGCGGCGCAGATGATCCGGATCGCGCTGTGGTGCGTCCAGGAGAGCGCGGCGTCGCGGCCGACGATGCCCGAGATCGTCCAGATGATCGAGGGGCACAGGGATGTGGAGGAGCCGCCCATGGCGTTCCATTTCGCGGTCCAGACAATGGTGGACATCACGGCGTCCAGGGATTGCTTGTCCATGGCCTATGTCACTCCTCCCAGCTTCGATGTCTCGAGCTTGATCCGGTGAGAAGATCATCCAGTAGAGGAAGAAGCATCTTTTTTTAACACAAGAATATTCTCCTTGGCGCGAGTTGTAAACTCTTAGGGTTCTTCTTTCGGTTCATTAGTAAGCCCTAGTGGAATGGCGCTTGCGATTTCTTCCGGCCGCGGCAAGGCGATCCAGCTCCAGCCGGTCTCGCACATCGCGTTCGTGGTACGTGACGCTGCTGATTCGGCCAATGTGCTGCTTGTGCGATCGATCGCTGCTGCCGATCTGGAGCCGGGCGACTCCGAAATCTGGGACCTTCCCTGCTTCGATCTGCCGAGGCTCGGCAAGCGGCAGCAGCTGAGAGGCAGCATTGATCATCCACAGCTCGTTTGCAGCGTGGAGGCGGCTCTTCGAGAGGCTGGAGTGAGAAATTTTGCCATTGAGGAGGCTATTGAGAAGGTGAGGTCTACTTTTTCTTTGCCTTTGTTGGACTTTAGTGTTTGATATGTTGCGTTTTTTCTTCCTCTAGGTGCAAGCGCTGGTGCCTACGCCTTTACATTTTGTCAGCCTTTGGAAAATTGTTAGAGAGCCAGATTTTGGACCCAGGGCCCCGATACAAACCGTGGTGTTGATCGTGGAAGCACCACGATATGTGTCGTCCTTGGGTGGGTTTGATCTTTTTGTTTTTCTTTCTTTATCTCTTCATACGAATGTATCTTTCATCCAGGTTCTTGTGAGTGGTTTGATCGTCAGAGAGCGCTGGAGCTGCTTGTGAATGAGACTCGTGATGCCGAACGCGTCGGTGTTCTCGCTGCTAGTTTTTTCTATCCCTCGTTTCCAAAGGGTACTTGCAGCGATCTTAACTTGGAGTGTTTCTACCAGGTTTGTCTTGTGATGTTGTTTAAGATTATATGCCATTAACATTGGATGTTTTGGCAGGAGTATCCCCCAGGAGTGTTAGTCATTCCTATGCTGTCGCGAACTTTGAAGCCTTTTTGCAAAACTAACTTGGTCATAAGCGCACCGACGAGTTCACGGTTTTTAGATGCGGACGTGAACATCAATGATAGTACATTTACTGGACAGGCTTTGATTGTAGATCCTGGTTGCTCAGTTCCGGCATATAACGAGGTATGGATTCTTGTTTTTCGTTTTTCAATTTTCTTTACAAGAGAACTTTCTGCAGAACAGCTGGTTGCAATCGTTAGATTATTGCCCAAAAAGCTATTTGTTTTTCTAACTCATCACCACCTAGATCACACTGAAGGTCTCCCCGCTGTTAAACAAGCCAACTCCGGGGCCATCGTCATAGCGCACGAGAAAACACTCAAGAGAATTGGTCCAGGTTTGTGTGAAATCTATTCAAGTGCTCATGCAAAATTGTATGAAACAGCTCTTTATGGCATCAAGTATGTATCAGTAACTGGTGGAACGAAGCTACTTATCAGCGGACAACGTTTTGAGATCATTGCCGCTCCTGTAAGCTGTTTACGTGATCTATTCTTTAGGCAAGCAAGCAAGCTTCATTGTCATGGCAGGGCCACACGGATGGACATCTTTGTTTGTTTCACCTCGAAACTCGGACTCTTGTCGCTGGCGACCACTGTGTGGGGTATGCATAAGTTTTCCAATCGAGTTTCTAATCGACGAGAACTCTTTGCAGTGAAGGAAGTTCCATTGTTGACGGCAACTCTGGAGGAAATCTTCATGTAATACACCAGGCTCTTTTATGCTTTTATTCTGATTCTTTTCTCCTTGCGTTTACAGGACTACATGAACACTAGCCATCGCCTGTTGGAGCTCGCGCCTAAGGTAGTGGTGCCGATGCACGGACGGCCCAATCTCTTGCCTTTGCAGCTTCTCAAAGGATACATAAAGTGAGTGATCTCTAAAGCAAATTCGCTGGTGGCAACACGTAACTTTGTTTTTTCAGGCATCGGCAAAGCAGGGAAGCTACTATCTTAAAGGCTATCGAGGCCGGCGCAACGAGTGCGTTCGCCATAGTTTCCAGTGCGTACAAGCAGACAAACATATTGCTCTGGCCAGCAGCGTTGATCAACGTAAAGGTTCACGTCGACCACCTGCAAAGGCAGCAAAAGCTACCACAGGTATAATTCTCACACCAGCGCTGCTATCGTGTATCGGCTAAACATCTACCGCGTTCTCATCGCAGGGGTTTCCCGTGGAGAAATTCAAGCGTAGCTGCGGACTCGCTTTCAAAGTGCGATGGTTTGCGAGATTCATCGGTTCGTACGCTTTCCAGCGTAACGCATGGAGACTCCTGCTATGCCTTGTCGCGATTTTCTTCGTTTGGTACAAATGGGGCCAGGGATCGGGCGAGGAAGAAGAGTGGTGAATCTACCAACTTTGATAGGTGACTATAAAACTCTCTTATACAGCATGGGACTAATATAATGCTCCTGACAATGTTATAAACAATGTATATACGCAAATTTCTTCCTTCTAGAACAAGGTGGTGGATCGTCAAAACTCTAAGATATGATAGATTCAATCAGACAAAGAAACTCTAGCTGATACGTGTAACAATGATAAGAGCTGGTCTTGAAAACAATGCATATAGCGAGCTTGACTAAGCCTCGTAAAAGCAGGAGCCTCTGCTAGAGTAGAAGTGATACCTGGCATTCCACCAAGGACGCTGCTTTAGACAATGTGACGCCATGCTTGAACACCACGCTTGATTTTCCCCTGCGTTGAAGCTTTCCACCGCCCGCTTTTCTTTTCTTTTCTTTTTTTTTTTCTTTCTCCGAAGTATTGCTTCGTCAGTAGCTTCTCCAGTCCCTTTATCAAAGCGAGACGTTGATAGCTCTCGACAGAAGAACGCTCGCTCGATCGAAGAAGAACCGTGCCGAAAGAAAGAAATCTACTTGGCTTTTGCTCGCTGCGACGATGGCTCGTAGAAGTTTTTGCTGCTCGATCACCACGGTGGTGGTGCTGGTCGCGGCATTCTTGCCGCTGCTGTGTGGAGCTCAAACTTTCCCAGCTCCGGCACCTGGACTGGCCTATGGATTCTACAACACCTCCTGTCCCAGCGCCGAGAGCACCGTCCAGCAAATGATGCAGTCCATTCTCACCTCCAACATCTCCGAGGCCGCTGGGATCATCCGGCTCTTCTTCCACGACTGCTTCGTCCAGGTTGCTCGACCTTTCTCTCTCTCTCTTTGTTTCTTCCGAGTTGTTCTAGGAACTTTGCTGTGATCGCAGGGATGCGATGGCTCGCTTCTCATCAATGCTACCAACGGGGAGCTCTTCTCGATCCCGAACTTGACCATTCGTCGCTCTGCTATTGCCATCGTGGAGCAGATCAAGGCGAGATTGGAGTCGGCCTGTCCGAACACTGTCTCTTGCTCGGATATACTCGTCTTGGCTGCTCGAGAATCCGTGACCCAGGTACTACCAAAGTCCTGTAAGCTTTTGTCGTGCCAAACCTCACAACAAATCATGTGATCCTTTGCTGTGTTCTTGCCTTCTAAAAGGCTGGAGGACCATCGTTTCCTGTTCCAACCGGACGTCGCGACGGCACGACCTTCGCCACTAACCAGACTGTTCTCAGCTTCATCCCGGCTCCCAGCTTCAACTTCTCACAGCTTAACTCCTCCTTCCAGACCAAAGGCTTGAACGAAGCGGACTTAACAGCTCTCTCAGGTAAAGCAAGCTCCAAAACTTCTCTTGGACCGTTCCAAAAACTCTGTCCTCGCTGCCGCTGCTTTCAGGAGCTCACACCATCGGAATCGCGCACTGCTCGGCCTTCATTGGGAACCTGTATCCCAACGTCAGCTCCCGTTTCAACTCTTCCTTTGCACAGACCCTGTTGCAGTCCTGCCCAAGCAACACTTCCAACAACGTCGTCAACATGGACCTGGTCACCCCGAATGCCTTCGACAGCCAGTACTTCAGCAACGTTCTCTCTGGCTCCGTCGACTTCGACTCGGACGCTGCTCTTCTTAACAGCACCACCACGCAGAGCAGCGTGCAGGCTTTCGCAGCGAACCAGACCCAGTTCTTCAACCAGTTTGCCGTGAGCTTCATCAAGATGAGCATGATCGAAGTCCTGACCAACTCGAGCGGGAACATTCGCAATGTCTGCTCGGTCTTCAACTCCAACAGCAGTAGCACTATTAGCCTGAACTCGTCCCCTGAGAACTTTGTCGAGCAAGTGTGAGATTCACATTATTTGGCAATATCTACAAGCGAGACTTTCATCACCGATCTCAGTAATGAGAAACCTGTTGTTCTATGGGAGCGTTGTAGTGTCGCCTGCGAAGTTCTGATTCCGGCTCCAGAGGCTGTTGGAGGTAGAGTCTTGTGGGATCGTTTGGATCGATATATCTGGGAAAAGAACAAAAGTTCAATCAGATTACCGCACGAGGAAAACGACCAGACTCACGCATGGCGTATCATGTCGTCCACCGGTGCCTGGGTCTCTGGAATGGGATTTTGAGCAGCAGCACGCATGGATTCAGTAGCACGGATGGATCGCAACAGGCCGAAGAAAATAGGAATGAAAGTTCCAACACCACCTTCTTTGAACAGAATCTTGAAAGGATATGGAGCGTAGAGTGCGGGATTGGCACCCTCTTGAATAACCTTAAAAAAACAGAGAGAAGAAAGTCACAAACAAATTTCGATGAAGGGAAAAACGATTTCTTAAGTCTGAAGAACTAGAAAAATTAACGAAAGGAAGGAACTTACAGGATGGACCTTCCCGGATAAGTTGTTGCAAAAGAAGATAGGCTGGTTGAAGCTCTCTTCGTGAATAAACATCTGTGGCAACAAAGGAAAAAATCACAGCTTTGTGAGGAAAAGGAGAAGATCTTGCAAAATAAATGCTATGCGTAAATTACCAGAGGCATGTCAAACGCGAAGAAATTCCCTACTGGCTGTCGCGCAACGAAGACGAGGCGAATATTGGACAGATAGATCGTCCCCTTGGTGACGATCTTGCCACTGGGAACACTGAAAAACCCAAGGAAATCCATGACTCGATTGAATCGATCGAGAATGCAATGCTTACTCTGGCAGCTTCTCGACCTGGAACTCCACGCCATCTCTGGCGAGCGCCAGAACCTCGTTCACAAACGGCAGCGGGAACCCGGATGGATGGAGCTGCGGATTGAGCGCCATCGTCAAACCCTAAAATTTCGCCCAGAGAGGAGGACGAAGAACCCTAATATCTGAGAGGGGTTTAAGATAGAGTCGAGCTATGGTGTTGCGCCAATGCGTCTCGGCCCCGGCGGCGCTCGCCAATCGCTCGCTCTTCCCTTCCAAGGACTGGTGCATTGCGCTCCAGAGCAGTGGGCGCGTCCAGCGCGGTTTCCAGTCGGCGGTATGCGTCCACGGGCCAATGCTGGGCAGGATTCGCGCGAATGCGACGAGGAAGAAGCCCGTGTCGATCGATTCTCTCAAGAACAAGAGCCCTCCGCCAGTGGTGAGCTTGACAGGAGTGTCGCCGCATCCAAATGTTTACAGGGATTTCTCGGATGGAGACGACGAGGCCGAGCCAGAGGGTAGCGTCATCCAGCTCAAGAAATCTCCCTCGAGCAAGAAGAAATCCAATGCCAGGCCGCCAAAGAAGGAGCTGCGATTCAGTGACTCCGAGGAGGAGCAAGAAGAGATGGATGCTCAAGCAAGTGATAGTGATGAAGAGCTAGAAGAAGAAGATGATGATGATGATCAAACCGGAGAGATATCGCGAAAGCCAGTGCTCACACTTCCGCAAGAGAAAAACGTGGAGGATCTCATGAACAGCTCCCGAGCGATTCTCTACGAGAGATTCGTGTTCAAGCATCTCGGAGAGAGGCCGACGAGGCAGCTGTTTGGTTCAAACATCCACGTCCTGGGCAACGCGTCCCGGGTGAAGATAAACTCGGTGGAGTTTATCAAGAGCAGCGATGGGATCAAGGACTGTCCCATGGATGGTTTTCCAGAGGTGGCTTTCGTTGGGCGATCCAACGTCGGGAAGTCCTCGCTCGTGAATCTTCTCATGGAGAGGAAGAGCTTGGCTTTGGTGTCGAAGAAACCCGGTAAGTTCTTCACGGTTTTGATCTTCTTCTTGGAAGAACTTTGGAATTTCTTTTTGCCAGGGAAAACGCAGCTTATCAACCATTTTCTCGTCAACAAGCGATGGTATCTGGTGGATTTGCCGGGTTACGGGTATGATCTTTCAGCGTTTCTCGTTGTTCTTCCATGGTTTTAACTCTTGGTTTTGGTTTCTTAGTTTTGCAAGCGCTCCAAAAACTTTGTGTGTCAAGTGGAACGAATTCACCAAGGATTACTTCCTCAAGAGGAAGACGCTCGTCATGGTTGTCCAGCTGATCGACTCCTCCATCCCCGTGCAGCAGATCGACATCGATTGCGCGACTTGGCTCAAGCAACACAACGTAAGTCTCGATCGAGCGAGCGAGTATTCGCAAAAACTCCTTTTTTGTTGGTTTTAATCCTTGGTTTCTTGGCGATCGTAGATCCCATCGACGCTGGCTTTCACGAAGTGCGATCGAAAGAAGAAGAAGAGGAAAACCGGAGGAAAGCATCCGGTGGACAATGTGGTGGAGTTCTTGCAGCAAATGAGGCTGGTAACTACGCAAACTTACCCGTGGATTTTGACGAGCTGCGTTACCGGGCAAGGCAGGGACGAGCTGATGATGCACATAGAAGAGTTTCGAAATTACTGGCACAGTTAAAAAGTAAATCTCGGTTAAAACAGAGCGGGGTTTAACAAGCGGCGCCGCTATGGGCGAAGCGGCGCCACCAACCTCACGATATAAAATGTGTTGCCATAAACCCTAGTTTGTGGAGTGGAGGGAATTTAGGGCGAGCGCGGAAGAACACGACGCAATGACCCCAGCGCGCGCGAGGCAGGGCAACGGCGCACTCCGGATTCGGCTGTGATCGTCTCGGATTCTCCTCAGCTTCTCTCCAGGTTGGTCTTTTCTTTCTTCCTTCGGATTTCCTTCGTGTCGCGTGTAAATCTCGTTGCTCGTTTGTGGATTTCGCGCAATCGCTGTGAGTGTGTCGAGAGTGGGAGGGAATTGGGAGAGATCTAGTATAGGAAAATGCGGTGTCGGGATGGATTGAGAGAGGGAAAGAGGTGTTGACGGAATTTACATGTGAGGCGTTCTTTCAAGCTAGTTTTTGGGGGGGAGGGGAAGGGAGAGGGAGAGATAGAAAAAATGCCAAACTCCACGGAGGAAGGGGGAGGGAGCTCTGGGGGTAATCACTCTGGGTCGGGGTCTAGGAAGGAGAAGAAGAAGCAGGCCAAGGAAGAGAGGGACCGACTCAAACAGGCCGAGAAGAAGAAGCGCAGGCTTGAGAAGGCGCTAGCAACTGCGGCGGCAATTCGATCCGAGCTCGAGAAGAAGAAGCAGCGGAGAAAAGAGGAGGAGCAGCGGCTGGACGAGGAAGGTGCTGCTCTCGCCGAGGCTGTGGCTCTGCAAGTTTTGGTCGAGGAGGACTTTGAAGGTGGCGGAAAAGTAGAACAGGAGGAGGTTTGTAGCTTGGAAAGTGATGAGAGCGTTGTTGGTGAGACGAGGAGGCAGTCGGGGGGTGTTTTCAGTGGGCAGCGAGTGTCGGGAAGCTCGACTTCTACTACGGAGAATGTGAGGAAGGGGACGAACACGAACGAGAAGGGGTCATGGGTTTGTGAGTGGGACTCGCCGGTGGGAGGGGGGCAGAATGACGATGAGTTCCTTAGCAAGAAGGGACTTATCACCACGGCCGAGGAGAAGGCGAGAGTTAGCACCGAGAGAGCTAAAGCAGCGGAGATGGCCGCTGGACTTGCTGCTGCGCAGGCTGTGGCTGCTCTCAGGATCGCCGAAGAGGCTCGAGCTGAGGCTGAGGCTGCCAAGAAAGCCGCAGAAGCGGCCATGATCGAAGCACTTGATCAGCGTGATCCTCAGCACAAGAGAGACCAAGAGATGGTAAACGTTCCAGTTGTCCATGTTTTGGGATGACGAAACTTACCGCTTTCTTGCAGAGTGTGGTGCGTGAACCCGAGGAAGACAAGGCGGAGTTGAAAGCGAGGCTTATCGAGACGGAGAAGAAGTTATTGGAGAAAACCAGAAGGGTTTCAGAGCTGGAGCAGAACCTTGATGAGGTTACTCAATACTTACTGGAGTTCAAAGCCAAGTTTGAGAGCGATAAGAACGCTACGATTCTCAGCTGCACAGCGGACGGAGTTACATCACAGGTGGGACAGTAGGCCATTTTGCGAGTAAGTCCATACGGAGGTGACGCAGCCACCGCTGCTGATCCTGTGGATCGCTTGGCATGGGGGCTCGTACGTAGTATCAGTCAGTGGATCATCGTCAAGGCAAGTTCTAAGGCAGCACTATGGTGGACGCTGCTGCACAGATGATGGGGTACTATGGCTTTCAGAGCTATGGAATTCCTGGTTTCGGCTGGCAATACGGGGGATAAGGATAGGACAGGACTCAGTTGCGTGGCCGAGACGATACGAAAATGGAGATATGTTCAAGCGAGAAGGAAGCGATGAGCAGATAAAACGAAGATAATTGTCTATAGACTCGGTCGGGGGCTTCGGACAAATAACAAGCTTTATATCCTTGGTGGACATTGAGGCTGCTGATGTGGATGGACCAAAATCCAGTCTTGGGAATTACGTGGCAGAGTGGAGACCGCAGGGTTGAATGTTTGTTTCACGCAAAGTCTCTCTCGGCAGCTACAACTACTCTAGCACTTGCACAATGGCGTGGTGACTGATTTGTGGAGCACCCATATGGGGATTCTATCGCCGGTGTTTGCAGCAGCAGTTTTGACACCGTCGAGGCCGTCCAGTAGCCAGCAGCAGGATGTCTTGAGCTATGAGGCCGGTCAGCGATTGTACTTGGATCCCAGGGCAGGGAATGTGTCTGCCGCTCTTGCTCAGAATTATGTGAAGCCGACTGTTTCTCGAGCAGCTAGCCAGAGAAATGATGACGCCGAAGCTGAGGCAAGGGCCCTCGCACGAGCTGTGAATGCTCCGAAGTATGATCCGGCTGAGCTCTCTAGGCGCTATGGAGGACAGCCACTCCAGGTACTTAATTTTCAGTGTTTGTAGTTTTGTCTCCCAAGAATGGAGTTTTTGGATTGATTGTTTGTCGCAGGTGACTAGAAGGACGCTGAATATACTGCTCGAGCTTGGCTCGTTTGCAGCCGATTTGTACTTGGACAAGCAAAGAGGCGAGCTAGAGCGGAACAAACGAGTCCGTGCAATTCAACTCAGGCAGAAGCTTACAAAGCTTGGTCCTACTTTTGTGAAGATTGGCCAGGGGTTATCAACCCGTCCAGATTTGTGTCCGCCCGAGTACCTTGAAGAGCTTGCTGAGCTTCAGGTAAGCACCCATATTTCACAGCATGGCAAGTGAGTAACGCTTGCTTTCCAGGATGCTTTGCCAACTTTTCCCGATGCCGAGGCATTTTCATGGATTGAAAGTGAACTCGGGGCAAGGCTTGAAGACGTTTACTCTTCTATAACTCCGTCTCCGGTAGCAGCTGCTAGTTTAGGACAGGTTTACAAAGCGGTTTTGCGATCTACTGGAGAAGTTGTTGCTGTGAAGGTACAGCGGCCAGGTATAGCTCAAGCCATTGGCCTCGATTTTTTTCTTCTCAGGAACGTATGCCAACTCATTGATAAGTATGTGGATGTTGTTACTACTAATGTCGTTGCTCTGCTGGATGAATTTGCTAGCCGAGTATATCAAGAGCTTAATTACGTTCAGGTGGGTGCTACATTTTCTCTCCAGTTGTGTTTCGCTAACGTTTGTTTCCTTTTTACCAGGAAGGCTTTAATGCGAAGAAGTTTATGGAGTTATATGGAGACAGGGTAGACGTCAAAGTACCCAGTATTTGCTGGGATTACACAAGCGTGAAGGTCTTGACTATGGAATGGATTGATGGCACCAAGCTTAGCGAACAGAAGGTTATCGAAAGCCAGGGACTCAACGTTTTGAAGATGGTGGACATCGGCATTCAGTGCAGCCTTCGTCAGCTTCTGGAGTATGGTTACTTCCATGCGGATCCTCATCCCGGGAATTTACTCGCAACTCCAGAAGGGAAGCTGGCTTTTATAGATTTCGGGATGATGAGTGACACTCCGCCTCAAGCAAGGTTCGCAATCATCGGGCATGTTGTCCATATGGTAAATCGGGACTACGAGGCTATGGCTCGGGATTACTACGCACTTGACTTTCTATCCCCGGACGTGGATGTCTCTCCAATAGTTCCCGCGTTGAAGTCTTTCTTCGATGATGTTCTGGACGCCACCGTAAGCGAACTCAACTTCAAGACAATTGTGGACGGACTTGGAGCTGTTCTTTACCAGTATCCTTTTGATGGTACGTGCCTTCTGGATTGTAAACTTGCCTCACTAATGTTTCTTTTCTCTCTTTTTCTTTTTTCAGTTCCACCATACTATGCTTTGATCTTGAGGTCCTTGACGGTGCTCGAAGGCTTGGCCCTGTATACCGATCCAAATTTTAAAGTTCTCGCGGCTGCTTATCCATACTTCGCAAAGAGGCTGCTCACGGATCCAAATCCTTACTTGCGTGATGCTCTGGTTGAGCTCCTTTTCAAAGATGGTAGCTTCAGGTAGGCCTCCCAATTGTTTTTTTTCTTTCTTCGTGTGTCTTACTCTTGTGCTTCAGGTGGCAGAGGTTAGAAAATCTACTAGTCCAGGGACGGAAGTCGTCCGATTTTGTAGCAAAAGATGCGTTACAGCCCGTTTTGCAGCTCATGCTCGGAGAGGAAGGAGCTGAGCTCCGCCGCCTCGTCGAGAAAGAAGCAGTACGAGTCCTGGAGGCGCTCGTCATCGGTAGCACGGTAGAAGGTTACAAGTCCTTGCCGGAGCCCCTCAAGTTCATAGTCAACAGGGGCAACAACGGGCGCGTGATCGCTCTCAAAGAACACGAAGAGGCCCAGATGCTCAAGCTTCGCCAGCAGGTGCTTCGGGTGTGGGGTCTCCTTCGAACATCCTCGGGTTTTGATCCAGCAATGCTTCAACCGGTTGTCGAGGTAAGAGAAACTCTTTGAAAACTTCGTTCGTCACTGTTTTCATGGCAGATTCTCAGGCTCCCGGAAGCACAGTCTATGGGTGCCCACGTTGCGACAGGCTTGACTAAACGTCTCGCTGCGCGACTGTTGCAGCAACTTCTCAAGCCAGCGACACCATTGCCAGCTTAAGCACCTTGTAAAAAATTGTTCGCTGTAAGCTCAGAATTATGGATTAATGTATTAACTTGGTTTATAAAGATCCTTTACGATTAAGCTAGGGCTTGTATTCTTCCAATTTTATTTTTTCTTCAGCGCCATGAAAAGGACGAGAGAGTATGGGGATTGGAGTTTTTCTACGCTCGACATCGCCACCAAAGAAAAAAAGAAAAGGGTGAAGGTGACACACAATTCTTTGCCGCTACCACCAGCTTTGGAGGAGAAACCCACTCTTGTGTTAGACATGGACGAAACACTAATCCATGCCCACAAGGCCACAGCATCCCTCAAGCTCTTCAGTGGGAAAATTCTTCCATTGGAGCGCTACCTTGTGGCAAAGAGGCCAGGCGTGGATATATTTCTAGATGAGATGAGTAAGATCTACGAGATTGTGGTTTTTACTCGAGCCGTGAAGCCATATGCGGACAGGATTTTGGATAGGCTCGACCCAGCTGGGAATCTCTTCGCCCATCGCCTCTACAGGGATTCGTGCTCGACCAAGGAAGTCGGAGGGAGAAAGGTTGTGAAAGATCTTTCGAGATTAGGGCGGGACCTCAGACACACAGTGATCGTGGACGACAAGCCAGAGTCCTTTTTCTTGCAGCCCAACAATGGAATTGTCATCCGAGCATTCAAAAACAGGAAAGGGCATAAGTATGATGAATTGAAGACAATAAGCAATCTACTCAAGGAAATTGCAAGAGTTGAAGACGTAAGGCAAGCATTGGAGAAGGTAAAAAGTTAAACAAAAAATCTCATAAAAAGAAACTCATGTATCCACTGTTTATGCTGTAACACTGCTCACTCTAAACTGATTGGGGCATTGTTTTTCTCATGTCCAATTTAAACTTTGGAAACAATGTCAAGCATCTTGAGTTTCAGTCTGATTAATCACTTGAGAGCCAATAGATAATTGTGCTACTTAAGCAGCAGTGTAAAGAGAGACAATCGATATATTATGCAAAGAGGAGGTGCTCACCGCCGAGGGACACCTGCCGCAGCTCAGCACCCCCGATGTCGTGATCCCAGTGTTGCTACGCCGAGAACATGTCCTGTCCTGAAACGCACCATAGAGCCTCTCAAAATCTCATGGCTCGATTAACTGGCCTATCCTTTTAGCATGGCAGTTAGCAATAACACTGTGCATTACTTAGAAACCGTCAGAGATAACCAAGATCTCAGTAGGACGAACTTCTTAAAACTTGAGGAAAAAGATTGACAGATCTTGAGATCCTCTGGAGATATCAGCTGCTGGATGTGGTGGAGGCAGAGCAGAACCTCAGGTCAGACCCTGCTTATCTTTCTTACTATCACTCGCATGTCCAAGCCACTTCTTTGAGTGGTGCTAGACGCTCCACATCTTCTTCTCTCCAAACATTATAGTTTACTGTGTGTTCTTTCTCACAGCACGAAACCTCAGAGCTATAGAAACGTTAGCTTTCAATGAAAACAGTTCAAAGTTGATACTAGAGAAATGGACAATGGCACATACTTTTTCCTCTCCTTTCGAGATCGTGGCACTACTAAAGTCCTGCAAGGATCTCGCCCAAGGCAGGCAAATCCACGCGCAGATTTCGGCTAGCAAACACCACAGCAAGAACATTGCCCTCTCCAACCTCCTCGTCAAGATGTACGGTAGATGTGGCAGCCTCGACGATGCATGGCGGGTTTTCGACGGCCTGGATCAGCCCAACGTTTACTCCTGGAATATCATGATTCGAGCATATACCGAGAATGGGGATATGCTGCGAGCTCGCGCCCTCTTCGACAAGATGGCTCAAAAGAATGTGGTCTCCTGGACAACGATCATAGAATCTTATGGACGAAGCGGGAATATACTTGAAGCCGAGAATCTTTTTGAGTTGATGCCTGACCGCGATGTAGTTTCTTGCAATGTGATGATCGAGGCATTTGCCCAGAACGGGCATCTCCAGGCAGCAAGGAGGCTGTTTAACGAGATGGACGACAGGGATGTTGCCACGTGGACGACCATGATCACGGCCTACTCCCAACGGGGGGATCTGGTCGTCGCCCGCGAGTTCTTTGAGGGGATGCCGTACAGGAGCATTGTTTCGTGGAGCGCCATGGTCACCGGGTACGGACAGAATGGCCAGCTCCAGCAGTCGCGCTGGGTGTTTGAATCCATGCCCGAGAGGAACCTTTTGACGTGGACAGTCATGGTTGCGGTGTATGCCCAGTGTGGGCATTTGGAGGAGGCCAAAGAGTTGTTTGATGCGATGCCGGAGAGGGATGTGGTGGCCTGGAATGCGATGATTACCGGGTTTGCGAAGAACTTTAAATTGATGGAAGCGCGCAAGATGTTTGATTCTATGCCTCGGAGGGACTTGGTGTCGTGGGCATTAATAATCTCTGCATATGCTCAGAACGGGAATATACTACAAGCGGAGGCTTTGTTTAACTTAATGCCTTGCCAAAACTTAATAGCGAAAAACACGATTATGGATGCGTATGCATCTCACGGTCAGATTGACAAAGCTAGATTCTTATTTGATCAGAGTCTAGAACGAAATCTAGTGTCGTGGACAACAATGATCACTGCATATGCCAGAAACGGGCATCTGGAAATGGCAAAGGATCTGTTTGATCAGATGCCAGAGCGCGACACTGTTTCTTGGAACACTTTGATCAACGCTTACGCGCAGCAGGGATTTTTTGATGAGGCATTAGATATTCTCAGCCAGATGCCATGGAAAGATGTAGTGTCGTGGAACATTATCATCGCTGCAAATGCCCAGAACGGGGAAAACGAACAAGCAATCGCCCTCTTTCGGCAAATGGACCTTGAGGGCATTCCTGCTAACGAGATCACATTTATCACTGTCCTGGACGCCTGCACAACGATATCTGATCTAAAGATCGGGCGGGCAGTCCATGCCGAGGCAGTGACGAGTGGAATTGGAGGTGTGGAGGCAGTGACCACGGCTGCAATTACAATGTGTGGGAAATCCGGGAGCTTGCCAGAGGCTACGAGGCTCTTTCAATCTATGCCGGTCAAGAGCACAGTAGCATGGGGCGCGATGATCACAATCTACGCACAGGGTGGTCAAAGTGAAATCGCCCTTGATCTCTTTCGGGACATGGAGCTTGACGGGATCCAAGCGGATGGCATCACTTTCATCGCTGTGCTGTCAGCTTGCTGCCATTGTGGGAGATTTCGGGAGGGATGGGAGTTTTTTGTGAGCTTGAGGCTGGACTATGGAGTGGAACCCATGGCTGAGCACTATGAGTGTCTTGTGGATCAGTTGGGAAGAGCGGGCAAGCTGAGAGAGGCGGAAGAACTGATTGAGAGCATGCCATTCTATCCCACTCCAGTTGCTTATACTCAGCTCCTGAGTGCTGTAAAGACGCAGGAGGGTGATCAAGGTGATCGTGGCAATACCATCAGGTCTAGTGCTGAGAATTTGGCTACTAAAGTACAAGAACTAGATGATCAAAACTCGTCTAGTTATGTGCTTCTATCCACCTTGTAAAAAGACAAAGATTTCACTTCGATGTATGTTTTAGCTTTCCAGCCACATTATCTACCACTGAGCAACAACTGAATGGACTTTCGAAGTTCCATCCCTTCCTCCAGCTTTCCACCCCTCATAAGCATGTCAAAAATGCAAACATAGTGATCAACCATGCTCTCAATCCCAAAGTCCTGGATCATGGAGATCAGGAAATGTTTGGCTTGGCAGAGTGATCCTCCATGACCACAAGAAGCAATAATGCCAATAAATGAGATCTCGTTTGGTGTCACGCCTTCAACAAGCATGCTATGGAAGCATTCAACAGCCCTTCCAAAATGCCCAGTTCGGGAAAGTGCTGTCAACATCGCCGTCCAGGAAATGATACTTCGATTTGCCATTCTTGAGAAAACTATCTCTGCCCATTCAATCGATCCACCATTACCATACATGCTGATGACGGCATTTGCAATCTCAATCTCCTCCGGGTGTACAACTCTCTGGTGGATTTCCCTGCCCTGGAGAAGATCTGGGATGCTAGAACATGCCTCAATCACCGTAAGAAATGTGATCTTGTTTGGTGGCACATTCATCCTATAAAACAAATCAATTGCCTTCCTTGGCTGGTTATTGCGTGTGTAAGCACAGATCATTGCATTCCATGATGCTGCATTTTTATCTGGCATGCTCTCAAATAAAATAATTGCTTCTTCCAATTGCCCTGCCTGTCCATATGCGGCTACCATGGCGTTCCACACAATTGTGTCATATGAAGGCATTTGTACAAACAGACAATGGGCTTCTTCCAGGTGCCCTGCATGGGCATTTGCTACAACCATAGTTGTCCACGTCACTACATCCTTTTCAAGCATGGACTGAAAAACTTGTTTAGATTTAGTTAAATTACCGTCTTGGCAATATGCCGACAATATCGTGTTACACGAGAAAATATCCCATTCAAGCATTCTATTTAGCAGAGTTTCTGCACTATGCAGATTATTTGTTTTGGCAAAAGCTGCTAGCATTGCATTTGATGCCATGAGATTTTTTTCTGGCATTTTTTCAAAAAAGAGATTTGCCTTATCAACACAAGAACATGTGGCATATCCAACGACAAGTGCAACCCATGATTCAATGTCTCGTTCAGGGATGCGATGAAACAAAATTTCTGCTTCTTGTAAATGCCCTGATTTGGCATATGCAGCGATCATGTTGTTCCAGGTAAGAATGTTTCTGTAGGGCATCTGGTTGAAGACGTCCAGCGCCCGTTCAATGAGACCACACTTTCCGTAAAGTTTGATGATGAGAGTGTTGAGGTAGACATTGGCATGGTGCTCACTTCTTGAAATTTCTGAATGGAGACAAATCCCCGTTCCTAGATTCTTTGTGTTATAACATGCTTTAAGAAGAGTGCCCAGTCTTCCCACATCAGTTAGGGTTGATTGAAGCATGCTAGAGCAAATCAATCAATCTATACATTTATTTCAAAGAATGTTTAAAATGTATAGCAGAGAATATTATTAACAAATCCTATTACAAATTAAATTTTTTGCACTGCAACATTTTAGTATTTTTATAGGTGTTTTAATTTAGTATCTTGTCAAATATTAAAATTAACTATGAATTATTTATTATTTAAAATTAGAAAATATTAAGAGTATTAATACAAATATGCTACACTTGCAATGACAAATATAAGGTGGCAAAACAACGTGCTTTGCTTGTAAGTAAAATTTAGGAATGTCTAATTAATGCTTGTGAGGTCAACTTTACCTCATTCTTGAGATTACCTTTATAATTTCATCAATTAATGATTTCTAAACAAAAAAAAACTCAGAGAGAAAGAGAGAGATCAAATAACATTGGCAGGCTTGCAACGGTAGAGATCTAGGAAGTCAAGGATGGTGAAGATGGCAAAGCTCTATTTCTTTGTCCACTGACAGTGTGAATATTTGTGAATGTGATGTGGAGTACGACTTGGGGGATGCACAGTGATTACTTGCTGAGTAAAAGAGCTAGATCATTCTTTCTTCCGTTTGTTCATTCGAAACATGTTTCTCATTGTCTCTTGACACGTTTTCACAATCAACAATCTCCGGAACTTAAGTTCCATCCTTGTTTAAAACCGAAATGTAATTGGAGATGGAAAATATTGATGTTACACGGTTTCTTCAACGAATGGGTAGTCCGTGTATCCAGCCACCGGATCATGCGAGAAAAACGTGTTCCTGTCGTAGAGATTGAGCGGGGCATTGAGCTGGAACCGCCTTGGCAAGTCCGGGTTTGCGAGAAAGTGCCTGGCGTAGACAACCAAGTCGGCCAGCCCCGATTCAATTGCTGCGTTCCCAGAATCTCTGTCAAATCCCGCAGCTGCAAGGAACGCACCTTTGAATGCTCGCTTCACTGGCCACAACTCCGACTCTACCTCGCCAGAGAGCTTGATCTTTGGCTCCGCAACATACAAGATGTTGTACCTGTCATAGAGTGTGTTGAAACTTGGAAGAAGTCACGAACAAGCAAGCATAGCATACCTGTTGAGTGCCTCGGCCAGGAAAACAGCCAGCTTCATGGGATTGGAATCCGCTGAGTCGCTGAAGTTCGAAAACGGCGAGAAGCGGAAGCCAATGCGCTGGGAACCAATCTCCTTCGCCACGGCTTCAACCAGCTCCAGAGCAAATCTACAGCGGTTCTCGACAGAGCCACCGTATCCGTCTGTTCTGTCGTTGATACCATCCTTGAGAAACTGGTCGATCAAGTAGCCGTGAGCTCCATGGAGCTCAACGCCGTCGAAGCCGGCCTCAATGGCGTTCCGAGCTGCGGTGCAAAAGTCCTGGATGAGCAGCGGGATCTCACGAGTTTCTAGAGCCCGTGGGGTGGAGTACTCGAGTATGTCACCCGACGGTGAAGGACCAGGGGCACGCTTGCTCGAGCAGGATATAGGAGCCTGTCCCTTTGGCTGATAAGCTGCAGACCAAAAGCAATGTTGAAAGAGTGATCCTGCATGTGATTCTCAAGCAAGCAGCTTACAAGTGTGGGACAATCTCCCGACGTGCCAGATTTGAAGAAAAAATACAGCACCCTTGGCATGAACGGCTTTCACAATCGGTTTCCAGGCCTCTACTTGTTCTTGCGTCCAGATTCCGGGTGTACAAGAGTACCTGTGTAAAAGACAACCGTACAGACGCTTGGATTAAAAAGGATCTCCAAACTCTCACCCCATGGACGTGTCTGAAACTCCAGTTGCTTCTGCTATGAGAAGGCCTCCAGGAGTTGCGCGTTGCGAGTAGTAGACAGCAGCATGAGGTTGTGGAATGCTCCCGTAAGATCGACATCTTGTCATTGGTGCGAGCACAACTCTGGAACGAACCAAGTCAGTCGTGCAAGAACTTCTTGAAATCCATAGTGCAACCTATGATTTAACAGAAACGGCCCCAGCTGGAATGGAGTGAGAAGTGGGATCTTTTCGTCATTCTCCATCGCTCTCTGGAAGGACAAGTTAAAGAACAACACCAGAAAGTACACTTATCACTTACCAAAAGGTAACTTGCTGAGAGAGTATCAGATCCGATAACGTTTTACCATGCCTGTCAATCCTCCTTGAACAAGTCACCCCTCCATCCAGTACATTCCTTACAACAACGTTGAGAGAATGTATCCCTTCGACCAGATAAACAGAAACTTCAGCTTCTCCGGCCTGACCAACGAAGGCCGTCGCGAATACATTTTTCACCCATTTGGCCGTTACGACCTCTTGCAGTCGAGCTATGTCGTCGGTGCAATGCGGAATCAAGCTGAAGTTCAGTGTATTCCCCTTGTCACCAGTTCTGCTGTGAGCAATGTGATATAGAGGAATGCCAACACCTCTTGGAGCTGGAGCTGTCTTTGCAGATGGACTTGGCGTCGGTAAAACATCCATGCAAACCACGGAGTTTGATTGACAACACTCGAGCCTCCTCTGTGTGCCTGAAAACGCAGTTTTCCAGGACACGGCATCGCGGGAGACTAATTTCTTTTTCAGTGTTATTTCTCTCTTGATCCCTGAACTGCAAACGTATGTCTCGTCAGTAAAAACAAAAGACAATTATGAACGACCATACCGTATGCCACCTCCTCCAGCAGGTCCATTCGTGTAGAGCGCTCCAAACTCTCGGACAAGTGCAGCAGCCTCCTCTTCTGTTCCAAATGATCCATCGACACGCAGCCGAGCTTCGTGACAGACTACTGGCGGACTGGGACTTGCGAACAGACTATCTTTACCAATGACGCACGAAAGAATTCTTTGCTGAATTCCAGGGAACGATTCCTCCAACCACGACCGAACCTGCAAAATACTAGTTGCTAAGGTGAGACGACAATCTTAAGCGACAAACCAGTTTATCGGATAGATTGGCACGCTCGTCGCAATATAAGCCACCGTACGAGATTTCTCCCCAACCTTTCCAGCCACAAAACTAGACAAACAACAAGTCAGGACAGTACCTTTGTGCTGCTAAACTTACGGATGGGATCAGGCGAAGTAGCAAGCTGGGAGAACAATGAGCCTCAGCGCCGCTTACAATTACTTTGTCTTTTGAGAGCTCCCTGAAATTGACCTTGCGGAGATCTAGAATCTGTTTTGCAAGGAACATAAGAAGCGTTAAATGAAAGGGTGCAGTCTGTACCACATCAGGGGTGATATACGAAGAAGGATCGTCCACTTCATATATAAGCTGCTCAGAGCATGTTCTCTCACTTATTTCTCCCCCAGAGCCTTCAGCTTTGGCGACGACTACTTTTCCGTCCCAGGAAATGTCAGCGTATGGCAGCGAAACGTCAAGAAGTTCTGGAAACGGAAGACTTCGAAGCTTGTCACCTGCATTTGTTTTTATTTGAGTTAACAGTTTCGGAAGAGCTGGGACAGAAAGCACAACCTGGATGCACGTAGTACCCTCCTGTCAGCTGGCATCCACATTCCAGGAGATGAGCAGCGACCGCACCTTGAGCAAGCTCTTTGTAGCTGTTCCAGTTCCAGCCAAGCTCGAAAATCTAGAAAGCATTCCTTGGAGATGTCTTTGCAAGAACTAGCTTCTTACCATCGGTCCCAGGAAAAGCGCAACATCGGCCACACGACTGGTGATGATAACATGAGGCCGACATTGCTGTAATACTTGCACGATTGGAGCTGCTCCAAGGTAAGTGCTAGAACCCTGTCGTCAACTAGTTAGATCGGATAAACATCGAGCCATATCAATCACTTACATCAGAAGGAAGCGGATACTCGTAGGCCACAGCCACAGAGATATGAATCCCAAGTTTTGAAGAGAGCTTGAGAACCTCGTCTTGTGCTCCCAAAGGATCCACTGAAAAGACAAAGTTCCTTAAACATCTCTTTTAAAAAGCAGGAGAGACCTCCGCCCATGTTTGTGACGATGCAAACTCCTTTCTCCACTGCTACTGGAAGAAGAGAAGTCATCCATTCCGAGACTAGAATTTTTATCTGGAAACCATCAGCCTTGCTAGAAGATGGAAGAACCAAGACGAAAAACATAAAAAGACAAGCTCTTACTTCGAGGATCATAGCCTTGGCCACCGGCGGCTTTAGCTTCCACACGCTCCACAAAGGTCCGCTCGGCGAGACACTCTAGAACCAAGTACTGCAAGCTTGGCACCCGATGGAGGAGCTTCAATGCCGCGCGGGGCCTGTCGCCAGCAAAGCCGGCGCCACATCCAATCCTCACAACATCTTTCTGCCGCAAAGGATTCTCCCTCTGAAAGAAAGAGGATCGAACGCACGATTCGAGCTACTTGCTACTCACCAGCGTCACTGTGCTCTCGGACGATGGATCGGCGTGGAGCTCAAACACGCGATCGTTGCCAGTGGCCATAGGACCTCCCTCCCGCCCTAAGATATAAATCTAATTAATGTGGAAGTTTCCAAATACAAGTTTGCTTAACAGCATATTTTCTAAGCAAAAGGCCATTGTTTTCCCTATTTTATTCGAATATATAGAATGGTCATGAAGTATATATGATAAAGTTTGTAAATATATCCAAGAAAAAACTAAGATAACCAATATTCCTCTCATCAAATTATGTAGAACAATTTACAATTTGAATGAGATAACTAGAGTTACTTTTTAGCTATTTAGTTTACTTTGACAAGCTTAACTATAATAGAACATTTTTTCCCTAAATTTCTAAATATAACTGGTGAATATTCAAGTATCAATAACTATTAATTACACCCCTTTTCCTAATCAATTAAGGATTTTAAGATAAAGTGTTTTTTGAATAATATTGGGCTGGGTGACTTCTCGGGAAGTCTAAACTTAAGAACTTATAAATTTATTACTTTTGTTAATATTTTGTTTTCAAGAATTTCCTTTACAATCTCTTTGATTTTCATCTTTTCTTTATTTTATTAAAGGCTATAATGACAATAGGTGGTTTAAGTCCAAGGATATTTAGGTTTTTAGTTCTCTAATCAAAACCTTTAATTATGAATATGAAGTAAAAATCTTCTCTCCTCTAATATATATTTCAAGTTGAAATATCACTTTTGTTTCATTAAAGGCTATAATTCACAATAATGTGGGTGAGGTGGTTTAAGTCCAAGGATATTTAAGTTTTTAGTTCTCTAGTCAAAACCTTTAACTATGAATGTGAAGCAAAAATCTTCTCTCCTCCTCTAATATGTAATTCAAGTTGAAATATCACTCTTAGGCCATCCCTAAATCTTGCAAGTTCATCATTAGTGATAATTATAGTAGTCTATAATGCTTTCTAGTTGTCTTGCTTGTCAATTTCCCTAAATCTTACAAGTTCATCATTAGTGATAATTATAGTAGTTTACAATGCTTTCTAGTTTTTTTGCTTATCAATTTATATGTGCCTATTTTCTTATAGATCTTTGAGCATTTCTTATAAACTCTTGAATTTAAATTTTCTGAGAGGTCATTTAGCCTAAACCTAAAGACACTTAGCCTTAAGTATCCCAAAACTTTTAATTAATTGGAAAAAGGGGTATATTTTTATTCATGGGCCTTTTCCCTTTATATTTAAACCCCATAAATCATCTCTTAAATCATTCTTTTTTTTTTTTTACACTTCCATCCTCATATAATGGCAACATCTTTTTAAAATTATACCACTGTTAATAGTTTTAGGTCTAAATGTAATTAGAGGATGAAGACCAAACAAAACATCCACAACTAGTGTAAATAAAGACCATACACATCCATTGTAGTGATATATATCCCCATGAAGAACTTCTATATAAAAAATATCATGAAATGAGCATTTTAATTGTTAATATTCATGGTTCATTATGATAGGCATTTTAAATATGTCAATAACACATTTAATTAAGATCAAGAGACATTTTTTAAAGCTCTACAATCAATCATCTAGTTTATGACACCATTATTATTGGATTCAATTGTTAATTTTGCAAGAATATATGGTTGTATCATACCAGTTGCAAGGCAAAAATATCCTCACAATAGCCTATGTGGCAAAGTTATAATGCATGTTAGCACACATGCCCATCTAATGTAAGAAGTGATATAGAGGAGTTTTGTGAATCAATTTAAAAAAGCAAAAACTACAAGGAACTCAACTATAGCACCAAAATATATTCAAAAGATTATGTTGAAGAATTTTATTGTTGGGCTACTAAAAGAATCTATACTAGCTTATGGGAGATATTATGTGGTCTGCAACCTAATACAAGCTTAAAGAGGTATATTTGGTAATTTTAAGAAATATCTTCCTCATTTTTTGCTTTATATAAGATTGTGCAATTCTAAAAAGGGGAAAAGTGCATCCTTAAACTAAAATAGACCTAATCATTTAATAATACATAGTTACATAATGTTGAATATTAAGGTATCTTTGACCTTAATTAGTTTAATTACTATATCCTTATAATTTTATAGTAGTAATTTATTTCCAAACTAAGTTGTTAATGAAAATGAGGACCCTTTGGTTATAAGATGTCTATGATAAACTTGGATCTTGTCTCATATTAAATATGATTGGCTCAAGTGACTTAGTAAATTCTTAGATATATTGCATTGGGTATGAATCTTTACATATTTGTCAAATCTAATGCAAACTATAGAGTAGCTTTCACAGAAAAGGAAAATAATTAGGAATAGAGCCATTTGTTAAAATATTCATAAATGGATGAAAAAGAAAGTGATTCTAACTACCTGAATAATGACATTTGCCATTGAAAAGGCACACTACAAAGCACATGCCTTGGGCTTCATCCACTTTACATATTGGTTTTCCTTTGGTTGTGAAGATGGTGGGATGGACTTTGGAGCTACAATCTTGACATTATTCTATTCTAAGAACCCACTTCTTGACTGAGCTAGCTCAAGTGTCAGACGAAGAAAGCACATCCTAATAAGTTAAATCTCTACAATATTTTTCTTAATAAGATATATTTTGCAAATACAAATTTTAGATCTAATCAATTTACCTTTGAGCAATATGGTAGCTCATATACAATCTTTACCATTTTAAAAAACATTTTGTGATAGTCTTTCAAAGTGACATTGCAATGTATTATACTATTATAACTCTTGTTGCCATTGCTTCCACTAAATGCCACAAAACGTATAATCTTGAAAGTCACCACATTACAATTTTTTTAGGTGAGGTAGTTATTTTTCTCTACATGATTTGTTGTGGTCTCAATCATTGCATTTGTCTCTAGAATCATCCCTCTCTTATGTATGGTTTGGCAATGGGATTACTAATGTGGCTCCTCACTCTTGAACTACTGCGAGAAAAATTGCAAAAGTTAAAACTACCAACACTTAGGATGTTTTTCCCAGAGTGCAAAAGGTAATTGATAAAAAGAATCTAGTTTCAAATTTAATATTATGAACCTAACATTGAATGAATGGATTGAAAATATTTGGAAAGAAGTTAATGTTTTTTATATATTTAAAGTGTGCCATTCTGAAACACTCAGCAAAAACAAGTTCAACTCTTTAACTTGGGAGATGAAGAGTGGTCCACCCTCTGTTTTACTGTTTTTTCCAATACTAGTGTATGGAATCAAATTCAAAAACAGTCAGCTACAAGAGGATGGTCATCGATGCCAGGTTTTGCCTTAAATCACAGAGGAAGCCGGGCTTGGAGATGGTGCCACTGATGTCCATGTCACCCATGAGCAACCCCAGCACTCTATACATCACAAGGACGCATTCGTGGAGTTGTTCGTCCCAAATCTCACTAACACAGTCCCGTTTCGATCATACACGCCCAGCGTCACCGTCTCCTCAAGAACAAGCTCGCACTCCCGTCCACTCCCCTTCGTTCTCGCCTGCCACAAGACCTCGTTGCTCGAACTCTCGCTAAACACCGCATTGCAACCTTCTCCCATCTCCAGAACGTACTCGGGCCTTCTCACTGGCAGCGAGGGATTGTTGTAATGAGGGCTAAGAACCTGGCGTAGAGCTCGTTGCTGGCGGCATGGGTGAGGGTGTGATCGTCGTCTTGGGTGTGCATGAGGAAGTTTGCTCCAAGGATCATCAAGAGGGTCAGGAATAGCGTAATCATGACAATAGCTGATCTGATCGATCAGCCCCCCTCCCCCGTTTGCCCCAATTGCTGTAGCCAGAGGGAGCACCTGGCTCGCAAATTCCTCCGGATTCAAGCTGCTGGTTGCACTTGATCAGCTCCAAGAGTGCTTGCTGCTAGCGAATATAATCGGGGACACAAGGGGGATGCAAACGCATTTGAAGTTCAAAAGCTCAATATGCTTCTTTCTGGCACACGAAGTTTCCTCACAGTCTTGTCCAACTCGGAAATAAAGATAGCACGAAATGTGTGCCTCGTACTCCTCGCAACTATAGTCAACTATGAGTTGCGTGCCTCAGACTCTTCGCCCGGACGAGAGAGGCCGGAGCATTCCATCAGTGCATGGTTTTTTTACGGTCTCGATCAGTGATGCGGTCACTATTTGGCCAACGCGATTCCAACCCATGGCAAGCTAGTCTTAGACGGATCTTGACTTTTACCAATGGCAAGTGGGAGGTTCTTAAATTCTCTTCAAAGCTTGGGATTCATATTTCTGTGGCTGTAGCCTACAAGTATCCACTTCCTTCTGATGCAAGTGATTGATATGGCTCGATTTTTATCCGATGTACCTACAGCAAGGTCGGCCTTGGAGCACCTCCTTGGAGGTGTTGCTCTTTAACTTGTCCTTGCAGCAATGGAGAATGACGAAGAGATCCCACTTCTCACTCCATTCCAGCTGGGGCCATTTCTGTTAAATCATAGGTTGCGGTATGGATTTCAAGGAGTTCTTGTGCGACTGACTTGTTTCTTTCCAGAGTTGTGCTCGCACCAATGACAAGATGTCGATCTTACAGGAGCATTCCACAACCTCATGCTGCTGTCTACTACTCGCAACGTGCAACTCCTGGAGGTCTTCTCATAGCAGAAGCAACTGGAGTTTCAGACACGTCCATGGGGTGAGAGTTTGGAGATTCTTTCTAATCCAACGTCTGTACGGTTGTCTTTTACACAGGTACCCTTGTACACCCGGAATCTGGACGCAAGAACAAGTAGAGGCCTGGAAACCGATTGTGAAAGCCGTTCATGACAAGGGTGCTGTGTTTTTTCTTCAAATCTGGCACGTCGGGAGATTGTCCCACACTTGTAAGCTGCTTGCTTGAGAATCACACGCTGGATCACTCTTTCAACATTGCTTTTGTTCTGCAGCTTATCAGCCAAAGGGACAGGCTCCTATATCCTGCTCGAGCAAGCGTGCCCCTGGTCCTTCACCGTCGGGTGACATACTCGAGTACTCCACCCCACGGGCTCTAGAAACTCGTGAGATCCCGCTGCTCATCCAGGACTTTTGCACCGCAGCTCGGAACGCCATTGAGGCCGGCTTCGACGGCGTTGAGCTCCATGGAGCTCACGGCTACTTGATCGACCAGTTTCTCAAGGATGGTATCAACGACAGAACAGACGGATACGGTGGCTCTGTCGAGAACCGCTGTAGATTTTCTCTGGAGCTGGTTGACGCCGTGGCGAAGGAGATTGGTTCCCAGCGCATTGGCTTCCGCTTCTCGCCGTTTTCAAACTTCAGCGACTCAGCGGATTCCAATCCCATGAAGCTAGCTGTTTTCCTGGCCGAGGCACTCAACAGGTATGCTACTGCTTGTTTGTGACTTCTTCCAAGTTTCGACACACTCTATGACAGGTACAACATCTTGTATGTTGCGGAGCCAAAGGTCAAGCTCTCTGGCGAGGTGGAGTCGGAGTTGTGGCCAGTGAGGCGAGCATTCAAAGGTGCGTTCCTGGCAGCCGCGGGATTCGACAGGGATTCTGGGAACGCAGCGATTGAAACGGGGCTGGCCGACTTGGTTGTCTACGCCAGGCACTTTCTCGCAAACCCGGACTTGCCAAGGCGGTTCCAGCTCAATGCCCCGCTCAATCTCTACGACAGGAACACGTTTTTCTCGCATGATCCAGTGGCTGGATACACGGATTATCCATTCCTTGAAGAGTCTACTGGGTAACATCAATATTTTTTATCTATCTTACTCCATTTCTATGCCTTTTCTTTGTAAGATCGTCAGGATGGAAACTTGTGTTGATAGATTGTGAAAACGTGTTAATAGACAATGAGAAACATACTTCGATTGAACAAACGAAAGAAAGCATGATTTAGCATCTTTCACTCAGCAAGTAATCCCCAGATGTTTTTTTCAATTGGATAGCACGTCCACTGCGCATCCCCCAAGTCGTATTCCATCACCCTGCTCGTCTCCAGCGAGTCTTTGTTCTCCATCACATTCACAAATATCTTGCTCACACCGTCAGTGCACAAAGAAATACACCCTTGCCATGCCCGAGCTTTGATCGTGGTCACAAGTTTGCTCCTCGTCCCTTCACCATCCTTGACCTCCCAAATCTCTACTGTCTCAGTGTCTTCAATGTCAAGCGATCTTCCCACCACAAACAGCCTCCCGCCACAAGCAACCATGCTTGATCTCACGTTCTTGTTTCGACCATCGGGCTCAGTGGGCGAGAGAACTCCATCCTTTGGAAAGATATCGTCCCACACATTGTTAACGCTGTCATACGCAATCACCCGCATCTTGTTGTTGAGCCTCCAACCCTTGACACCCTCTGGCACTTTCCCCCTGTAGAACTGGATGCTAGACAAGTAAATTTTGTCCCTGCAGCTGGAGCTCGGCCCAGAGACCGAGCAATGCCAGCCGTAGCTCCGGGCGTCAACTCTGCATGGGCCTATCGGCACGTCCCACGACTTCGTAAGGGAGTTGTATCGGTGTACGTGAGCATTGGATTCTTCCGAGTTAACTGTCTCCAGGAAGAAGTAATACAGAAAGTACGTGCCGGGCGCTTGCTGCTGCTGCTTCAGAGTTATGCCAATGAATTCACAAGGGAAGGGAGAATATTCGTCACTCTCTTTTTGTTTTGTTGCCTTGTTCTGTATATCCTGGCCGAAGGTGGTGATGTTTGGGATTTCCTCCCAGCAGTACGTATCTGTGCTGCCAATATAGATCCGTGCAGGGAATTGTACTAAGGCACGATACTTCCGTAACTCCGGCACGCAAATCAGTCCCAGCTCTTTCAACAACGCTCCTTCCGCAGGCTTACAATCACAAGAACGAGGAAGCTCGAGAGCGCGTACGCTTGAATTCGAGATCAGCCATAGCACTGATCCATCTTGACAAGGCACAGCCTGTCGTGTTATGTGAATTGCCTTGACAATGTGAGGCTTGCAAGGACGATGCTTATGACCCGAAAACATCCTCTTTCCACCCTCTCTTTCTTTGTTAGAACCATAGCTCGACCACTCGTTGCTCTCGATGTGGTACTCAATAACACGTCCCGGAGTGCGTGCTATGATCTTGTGGTTTCCATCACTTGCGAAGAGGATGGTCGTGTTTCTGGCGTTGTAAAAATACTCGGAGATGCAAATCATTTTGTCCGCCACCAATTTCCAGACCCTCAAGAACCTGTGGCATGAGGTTCTACCGATTACGTACAAGCTCCCGCGGCACACAACCAGTGTGGGGTCAATGATTGAGTGACTGGAACGAATATCCCAGCCGCCTTTGTCGACGAGAACTCCCTGATTCACGCCCTCCAGTTCTTCGCTGTCCATGTCATATGTTGCAATATCCATCGTCACACAACTGCCAGTAGCAATGTAAGCCTTGGATCCATCAGCCGCGAGCATAAAAGAGCAGCGTCGCAAATTCCACTCCTTCTTGCAACTCCACAAACCCGTCTCCGAATCAAACACCACTACCCGGATGAAGGTTGAATCTTTGGAGATGAACCCAAACAGCTTGTAAGCAAAGAAGTTCCCCACCACCTTGTGTCTCATAGCAAACCCTATGAAGTATTCACCCCGGCTGATCTCGCTCAGCTGTATGGTTCTCCAGTTTTCCAGCAGTGGATTGCCAACAACAACAAAGGAAGCAGAAAGACTTTTCGAATTATACTCATCCGAGGTCGCCTGATACAAGCACAGAAGGCCCAAAGCGTTTTCGATGGCTCCAACCTCCATGCCTGCACAGTTTTCCGGGAGATTGAAAAACTCCTCAGTATGCGTCGATAGATCATAAGCCCAGAGCTTGTAAGGCCTGTCCCACCGTGGGCTGGACGTCGCAAACAACCACATGGTATAAACCAATCAACCAAACCCTAGATAGAAAAAGCTTTTGGTATAAGCCCTAATCAAGCAAAATGGAGCGAGTAGTGGCGGCCGAGCACGCTGCATTTGGATCTTTCGATGGCCTGCGAAGAGCTCAGCCGCGATCGCGCAGCTGCGCTCCAAATGCCGGCGGGAATCTCACTCCATTTCTATGCCTTTCCTTTGTAAGATCGTCAGGATGGAAACTTATGTTGATAGATTGTGAAAACGTGTTAAGAGACAATGAGAAACATACTTCGATTGAACAAACGAAAGAAAGCCTGATTTAGCATCTTTCACTCAGCAAGTAATCCCCATATGTTTTCTTCAATTGGATAGCACGTCCACTGCGCATCCCCCAAGTCGTATTCCATCACCCTGCTCGTCTCCAGCGAGAATTTGTTCTCCATCACATTCACAAATATCTTGCTCACACCGTCAGTGCACAAAGAAATACACCCTTGCCATGCCCGAGCTTTGATCGTGGTCACAAGTTTGCTCGTCCCTTCACCATCCTTGACCTCCCAAATCTCTACTGTCTCAGTGTCTTCAATGTCAAGCGATCTTCCCACCACAAACAGCCTCCCGCCACAAGCAACCATGCTTGATCTCACGTTCTTGTTTCGACCATCGGGCTCAGTGGGCGAGAGAACTCCATCCTTTGGAAAGATATCGTCCCACACATTGTTAACGCTGTCATACGCAATCGCCCGCATCTTGTTGTTGAGCCTCCAACCCTTGACACCCTCTGGCACTTTCCCCCTGTAGAACTGGATGCTAGACAAGTAAATTTTGTCCCTGCAGCTGGAGCTCGGCCCAGAGACCGAGCAATGCCAGCCGTAGCTCCGGGCGTCAACTCTGCATGGGCCTATCGGCACGTCCCACGACTTCGTAAGGGAGTTGTATCGGTGTACGTGAACATTGGATTCTTCCAAGTTAACTGTCTCCAGGAAGAAGTAATACAGAAAGTACGTGCCGGGCGCTTGCTGCTGCTGCTTCAGAGTTATGCCAATGAATTCACAAGGGAAGGGAGAATATTCGTCACTCTCTTTTTGTTTTGTTGCCTTGTTCTGTATATCCTGGCCGAAGGTGGTGATGTTTGGGATTTCCTCCCAGCAGTACGTATCTGTGCTGCCAATATAGATCCGTGCAGGGAATTGTACTAAGGCACGATACTTCCGTAACTCCGGCACGCAAATCAGTCCCAGCTCTTTCAACAACGCTCCTTCCGCAGGCTTACAATCACAAGAACGAGGAAGCTCGAGAGCGCGTACGCTTGAATTCGAGATCAGCCATAGCACTGATCCATCTTGACAAGGCACAGCCTGTCGTGTTATGTGAATTGCCTTGACAATGTGAGGCTTGCAAGGACGATGCTTATGACCCGAAAACATCCTCTTTCCACCCTCTCTTTCTTTGTTAGAACCATAGCTCGACCACTCGTTGCTCTCGATGTGGTACTCAATAACATGTTCCGGAGTGCGTGCTATGATCTTGTGGTTTCCATCACTTGCGAAGAGGATGGTCGTGTTTCTGGCGTTGTAAAAATACTCGGAGATGCAAATCATTTTGTCCGCCACCAATTTCCAGACCCTCAAGAACCTGTGGCATGAGGTTCTACCGATTACGTACAAGCTCCCGCGGCACACAACCAGTGTGGGGTCAATGATTGAGTGACTGGAACGAATATCCCAGCCGCCTTTGTCGACGAGAACTCCCTGATTCACGCCCTCCAGTTCTTCGCTGTCCATGTCATATGTTGCAATATCCATCGTCACACAACTGCCAGTAGCAATGTAAGCCTTGGATCCATCAGCCGCGAGCATAAAAGAGCAGCGTCGCAAATTCCACTCCTTCTTGCAACTCCACAAACCCGTCTCCGAATCAAACACCACTACCCGGATGAAGGTTGAATCTTTGGAGATGAACCCAAACAGCTTGTAAGCAAAGAAGTTCCCCACCACCTTGTGTCTCATAGCAAACCCTATGAAGTATTCACCCCGGCTGATCTCGCTCAGCTGTATGGTTCTCCAGTTTTCCAGCAGTGGATTGCCAACAACAACAAAGGAAGCAGAACGACTTTTCGAATCATACTGATACAAGCACAGAAGGCCCAAAGCGTTTTCGATGGCTCCAACCACCATGCCTGCACAGTTTTCCGGGAGATTGAAAAACTCCTCAGTATGCGTCGATAGATCATAAGCCCAGAGCTTGTAAGGCCTGTCCCACCGTGGGCTGGACGTCGCAAACAACCACATGGTATAAACCAATCAATCAAACCCTAGCCCTAGATAGAAGCTTTTGGTATAAGCCCTAATCAAGCAAAATGGAGCGAGTAGTGGCGGCCCAGCACGCTGCATTTGGATCTTTCGATGGCCTGCGAAGAGCTCCGCCGCGATCGCGCAGCTGCGCTCCAAATGCCGGCGGGAATCGGGCGCGCTGCGCGCCGATCAGCTGCGTCGCCGATACGAGTAAGTAATTTCCCAGTTTTTCTGGCTGGATCGATCTCTCTTGCTGCTAGAGCACGCCACCAAAGTCCAAAGGAATGCGAACTTGGCCAAGCTTCAAGCTGGATACCTGTTTCCCGAGGCAAGCATTTTCGAATGGAATGCTCTGAAGCTATTCATCTTTTTTTCCCCCTTTTTGGATCAGATTGCGAGAAGGCGCGCCGCGCATCTCCAGAAAAATCCAGATGCCAAAGTTATCAGCTTGGGCATCGGAGACACGACAGAGCCAATACCAGAAGTTATAACAACAGCCATGGCCAAGGTCTTGTTCTTGTTCTTCTTTGTGTCTTTCTCATTAGTTTAGAGCTCGGTATGTTTCAGCGAGCTCATGGGTTGGCCACACGGGAAGGCTACAGTGGATATGGAGCTGAGCAAGGTGAAAAGGTGGAGCTCTATCATCTTGTCTTTGTGTAATTCACAAAGGTGTAACTTTTTTTTTTTCAGGAGCTTCGTGTCACTCTTGCCAAAACTTTCTATGGAGAAGTTGGCATCAGCGAGACCGAGGTCTTTGTGTCCGATGGAGCCAAGTGTGACATTGCTCGTCTTCAGGTAAAACTCTGGAAACAACTTTCCGCTAATGTTTTGCGCAGCTTACGTTTGGCTCGAGCGTCTCAATGGCAGTGCAAGATCCATCCTATCCGGTAAGCTTCAGGTTTATTTCCTTCTTGCTTTTTCCTTTCCGTCTTGTTTCACAACTAAAAGAATTTTCGCTTTTCAGGCTTATGTCGACACAAGCGTGATAATCGGGCAAACCAGCACTTTCCAGAAGGACGTTCAGCAGTATGGAAACATCGTCTACATGAAATGCAGCCCGGAGAACAACTTCTTCCCGGACTTATCAACCCTGCCTCGCACAGACATCATATTTTTCTGCTCTCCAAACAACCCGACTGGCTCGTCCGCCACTCGTGAGCAACTCGAGCAACTGGTCGCGTTTGCAAAGAAAAACGGCTCGATTATCATCTACGACTCGGCTTATGCGATGTACATCTCGGACGACTGTCCCAAGACCATCTACGAGATTCCAGGAGCTAAAGAGGTACAAGGAAAGACTTATATATATATATATATTTTGGAGAGAACTAAAGTTCTCGTGCAGGTGGCCATAGAGACTGGATCATTCTCCAAATACGCAGGGTTCACTGGCGTTCGCCTTGGCTGGACAATCGTTCCCGATCAGCTGCTCTATGCCGATGGATTTCCAGTAAGAAACGACTTTAACCGTGTTATGGGCACTTGCTTCAATGGAGCTTCCAACATCGCTCAAGCAGGAGGCCTGGCTTGTCTATCACCAGAGGGTCTCAAGGTCTGTCAATCTTTCTCCTTTTCGTGTTTAGAAGTTTTTCAAGTTCGTCCTTTTGCTAAGATCTTTGTTATCTCTTAACTTTTCCAGGCAATGCACGACGTTGTTGGCTTCTACAAAGACAACACGAGAATCCTGGTTGACACTTTCAAGTCTCTCGGATTCAAAACTTATGGAGGCACGAACGCTCCATATGTCTGGGTGCAATTCCCCGGCCGAAGCTCCTGGGATGTTTTCTCGGAAATCCTGGAGAAGATCGACATCGTCACGACTCCAGGTAGCGGCTTTGGTCCCACAGGCGATGGTTTCGTTCGAGCCAGCGCGTTTGGCAGCAGAGAAAACATCCTCGAAGCATCACGCCGGCTTAAGTCGCTCTACAGTTGAAAGCTTTTCACGGAGAAAATGAGAAGAGCAAGATCAAAACAAGAACAAAGAACTCCTCCAAGAACTCCAAGTCAGACAAAGCAACGATTTTTTTTCCTGGGAATTTTCCACCGAGAGAGCGATTTGATGTTTCGGGCAGTATTAAATCGTTCTTCTCGTGCCACACCCATCGCAGCTTTTGCGAAAAGTCTATCTTTTTGGCACGAGGAATCTCCCCAGTGTAAGATCTTGCTAGTGTAACCAACACCACCATTAAAAATCTTTGTTGACGATGACGTAGGGGTGGGTCATCCACGTGTAGCGCCAGGATTGACGCCAGCGGAATGTTCTATTGAAGATCATATATTTTCACGATTGTATGGAGTGGAGTTTCTAGGTTTTTCGGCGATCGATTGGAATGGTGGACGATGGCGCCAGGGCCAGCGGCTCCAGGCGCGGTGTCTTCGATTCGGATGACTACGACACTGACAATGGGAGCGATGGATCCTTGGGAAGCAGCGATTGCAAAGGCAGCGATGCCAGCTTCGATGTCTTCTCCAAGATTATCATCGGCGTCTGTGTCATGGAGAAGAAGGTGCGTTTCTTTGGAGCTTGTAGCAGCTACTGGATTCTAGGCAAAGAATGCTCGAGCTCTTTCGAGAGATTTTGGTGATTCTGTTCTAATCCCGTTTTTGGATGAAGGCATTGTCTCCTCCGATGACGGAAATCTTGAATCGTCTACGCTCTTTTGGAGAGTTTGAGGTAAAACTGAGCTGCGATTTTGCGAATGCCGCGTTTTTTGATTCGTCTCTGTGCGGCGTAGATCATCAACTTCGGAGATAAAGTCATTCTCGAGGAGCCCGTGGAAGAGTTAAGTCGCAAAGTTTGACATTTCTTGTTCTTAACGTTTTTTTCTTTTCTCCAGATGGCCCGTGTGTGATTGCCTTATCGCATTTTATTCGTCTGGTTTTCCCTTGCAAAAGGCAGAAGCATACGCGCAATTGAGAAAGTGAGTATCGTTTTCTTTTTTCTTTTCTTTTTTCTCTACTTTTTCCAGATTGTCAAAAAGTGCTTATCATTTCAGGCCTTTTCTTGTTAATGAATTGGAACCCCAGCATCTTTTGCATGACAGGCGCAAAGTTTATTCGGTACTATTCCTTCTTTTTTACTTTCTTTATTGGTGAAGGGACTACAACTTTTTTCGTTCTCGTTGTGTGTAGCGGCTGGAAGAATATGGGATAACCATTCCAAACTATGCTTTGGTGAATAGAGAGTTTCCAAACCAGGAACTGGAATATTTCTTGGAGGAAGAGGATTACATCGAAGTGAATGGCAAAAGAATTTTTAAGCCATTTGTTGAAAAGCCTGTGAATGGTGCGTATAGAACTTCATATATACAGGTTTCACTAAAGTGGCTATGCAAGCAGGAGATAATCACAGCGTCATGATCTACTATCCTAGCGCTGCTGGCGGTGGAATGAAAGAGCTTTTCCGCAAGGTGATGAAGCATTAAGCAAAATGTAACCTCTTACCCGATGTATTAATGCCGCAGATTGGAAATCGTTCAAGTGAGTTTCATCCCGAGATAAGACGAGTTCGAAGAGAAGGCTCTTATATCTATGAGGAGTTTATGCCAACTGGGGGAACAGATGTCAAGGTAGACAACTCAACTTCTTGTTCTTAGCAGCCGCCTCTTCTGAACTGCAGGTATACACTGTTGGACCAGAATATGCTCATGCTGAGGCACGAAAATCACCTGTTGTTGACGGGGTTGTTTTGAGAAGTCCCGATGGAAAAGAGGTACAAGAAGTTGTTTGTTTCCTAATTCTTAAAATAGCTTGGCACAGATACGATACCCAGTACTACTGACGCCAGCCGAGAAGCAGATGGCCCGAGAAGTCTGTGTGTCTTTTGGCCAAGCAGTAAGTACATTTGGTAACTTCCAAGTGGAAGAGTTCTCATTTTAACGTTTTGGCAGGTGTGTGGTTTTGACCTCTTGCGATCTCAAGGGAGGTCTTATGTTTGCGATGTCAATGGATGGAGTTTTGTAAAAAACTCGTACAAGTAGGCAATGTTGTCCATGTTAAACTTGCTGCAACTTGCTTTCTTAGGTACTACGATGACGCTGCATGTGTTTTAAGAACCATGTTTTTGGAGGCTAAGGCACCACACCTTTCAAAGATTCCGCCCTGCCTCTCCTGGAGCGAACCCAGGCCACTTGAATTACCACGACAGGGAAGTAGCGTGATGTCCGGTACTTTTGGACAATCCGAGGAGTTGCGCTGTGTCATAGCCGTCTTACGCCAGTAAGTGTTCCTTTTCTGCCTCCATTGTGCTCACTTGTCAGCTGTCAGTGGTGATCGGACCCCCAAGCAGAAAGTAAAAATGAAAGTCACGCAAGATAGGCTACTGAACTTAATGCTAAAATATAACGGCGGAAGACCAAGAGCGGAGGTAAGCTAGCTCAGAAACTTTAATATGATTTGCTAATGCTTTCTATGCAGGCAAAGCTGAAAAGCGCTGTTCAATTGCAAGATCTTCTGGATGCTACAAGAATGCTTGTACCAAGAGCAAGGTTTGAGTTAGATCTTTTCCCTTCGCCCGAGGATTCTTATACTTGCATATGATGTTTCAAGATCTGGAAAGGAAAGCGACAGTGAGGCTGAGGACCTTGAACATGCAGAAAAATTGCGACATGTCAAGGCAGTTTTGGAAGAGGTACATACTAATTGTTGGTACTGACTTGTTCTAATAACTTGTTCTAATAGGGTGGCCATTTTTCTGGGATTTACCGGAAAGTGCAACTTAAGCCTCAAAAGTGGCAGGAAGCCACAGATGGTGAAGAGGAAAGACCAACTGAGGCGCTTATGGTTCTGAAGTACGGTGGTGTTCTTACACACGCCGGAAGGAAACAGGTTCGATGTGTAATGAATTTTACATATTCTCACTTTGCTGCTTCCAGGCCGAAGAGCTTGGACGTTCTTTTCGGAACACTATGTATCCAGGTAGAGTTTAACTATAGCCTTAACCGAATTTTCATTGTTCATTTTTTTGCAGGGGAGGGAACTGGATTGCTTCGTCTGCATAGCACTTATCGTCACGATTTAAAGATCTATAGCTCGGATGAAGGGCGGGTGCAGGTGATCGTTTTTCTCCTTTTCGTTCTTATGCAGATGTAACATGATAATCGGTACCAGATGTCATCTGCAGCCTTTGCAAAAGGTCTTCTTGATTTAGAGGGCCCCCTGACGCCTATCCTGGTACTATAACTTTGCAGTGACATTATATGGCCTCACCATCTTTTGGCAGGTTTCGCTTGTAAGCAAAGATTCACCAATGCTTGATGGACTAGATACAGCCAGTATCGAAATGGAGGAGGCGAAGGTAAAATAATAGTCGTTGATGTATGCTTTAACAGTTTGCTTGCAGGCCAAGCTGTACGAAATCATGATGGCTGGCCAATCATGTTGCGAATGCACAAATGAGCCTTGGATGGTAGATGGCGCTGGACTACCTCCCAACGCTCTGGAGTTGATGAAGGAAATGGTATTTCTTTCCTGTTTTTGGAACAATCTCAGCATTGACCCGATTTTATAGGTACATCTGACAAAGAAAATTACCGCACAAGTCAAGCTCCTCTGCAAGGCGGAAGAGGAGCGGCTGGCCGATGGTTTAAATGAAGAAATACCTCCATACGATCAAGCCAGGGCTTTGGGGAAGACGAACATGGATGTGGACCGAATTTCTGCCGGTTTGCCTTGCGGCAGTGAAGGCTTTCTTCTTATGTATGCACGTTGGAAGAAACTCGAGCGTGACATATATAATGAGCGTAAAGAGTAAGTGGTCTATTAGTGTTATCAGACGTGAGGCGAATTTCCTGATTTGCAGGCGCTACGACATAAGCAAGGTTCCGGATGTGTACGATTCTTCCAAGTAAGGAATGTTCCTTTGACTGCATTATATCTTTCTCACGATTTCTCGCAGGTACGATCTTCTACACAATGCTCATCTAAAACTGGATGGTCTCGAAGACCTTTACACGGTGGCAAAGGTGCAATGTCAAAACGGATTTAAGGAATGCTAAATTCGTGTTCGCATGTGTCCAATACAGGCACTAGCAGATGGAGTCATACCGAATGAATATGGTATAAACCCAAAGCACAAACTGAAAATTGGATCGAAGGTACTGCTTATTGATACTTTATACGCGTTCTAATCACTCTCCTGCTTCCTTTGTACCTAGATTTGCCGTCGATTGCTGGGGAAGATTTTGATAGATCTGAGGAACACCAGAGAAGAGGCTATCAGTGTTGCAGAGTTGAAAAACGAAGAAGTTAAAATAAATCCAGATTCTGTTGGCCCACCCAAGGGGAAACATGAGGAGGACAATAAGTCTCAAAAATCTAGTGTGAAGAGTGATTCTCGGAGGTCCAGTTTGACGAGTGAGAAGTCTAATACAGACGATCACGACGACAAAGAAACGCAATATCGCCTCGATCCAAAGTAAGTTTTTTCTTTCGTTTTCTCTTTGGATCGCTCTAAACCACTTTGATGTTTCTACACAGATACGCAAATGTTAAAACACCTGAAAGGCACGTCCGCACTCGGCTGTACTTTACTTCGGTACGCTCCTTTTGTGCTCGTCAATTTCTTAACTTGGCTGTACCGCTTTGATATCTAGGAATCCCATATACACTCGCTGATAAACGTGCTACGTTACTGCCATCTCGACGATTCGTTGGAAGGAGAACCTCCACTTGTATCAACTGAGGCGCTGGAGGAGATTTTCGAGACAAAAGAGCTTGACTACTTGACTCACGTCGTCCTACGGCTTTACGAAAACACGGAGGTAAACGAATTTCACCTTTGTTTTGCTGTGGACTTACACTTCTTTCATTTGCTAAAACGCAGGTAGCGCTGGAAAGTCCTCGGCGATTTAGAATCGAGATTATGTTCAGCTGTGGTGCTGCTTTGAGTCCTTTGGAGGTACATTACTTGTGACAAAAGTTTAGAGCGGTGCTAATGCGAGATATATGATCCAGGCATCCCCACGGTTTCGGGATCACACACTCCCGGTGCTGTCGCCCTCAACACTCCAGGAAGAGGGAGCTTTCCTGTCCTTGAACAGGCTGGAGAAGATGATCCGCGCGTTTGCCATGCCGGCGGAGGACTTCCCTCCGGCAACAACGCCGCAAGGATTCTCGGGGCTCTTCGTCAAAGGAGGTGGTGTTCTCGAGCGCCTTGCTAGCCTGTGGCCGTTTAATAAGAACGCCAACCTGAAAGCCTGAGATATGATTGACAAGCTCTTCCACCGTTCCGATGACTTGACAACATCAAAGTAAAGTTTTGACAACGAGGAACAAACAGTAAGTCTGGTCGGTAAGAGGCTGATTTGCGAGTGACGGTCGAGGATGGTCTGGTTTTCTCTTTACCTTCCGACTAATCTATAGTTTTTGTAGGCTTAGATATCATCTAAGTCCTTGAACTGGTGCCAAAATTTTCCCAACTGGCTAGTTCGCTCAAGAGGAGGTACTGTTAATTTGCTTGCTTGTTCTTGAGAGGCTTTTCTTGGTTTTCTTGTCTCTGTGTTGTTGAGCTGTCGGGAAATTTATAGCTTGTTCTTGGCGTTTGCAGGGAAATTTATGGCAGCAAGGTCTAACTTTCCACCCAAGTGCTTACACTTCAAGCGCTAGAAATTTTGTAAATGTAAAGTGCGGTTTAAGTTCTTTCGAATATAACCACCTCTTGCTTAAGTTTATATTCTACCACCTCTTGCTTAAGTTCATATTCTAAGTTTAATATATAAACTACGACCACGAACTTAGCAAGGCAATCTGGCATGGGCGTGTTGGACGAGTGGAAGAGATCTCTCAAAGCAGACCTCAAGTCCGGTAATCCATCGTCAACGTCCATCCCGCACTCAAGTAAGACTCGACACACTCCAGCCTTCCGAGCGCTGCAAGCACTGCGGAGAACCGTATACCCCCCTGGTTTCACGTTGATATTGCTGGCCGCCTTTGCCATAATTCGCAAGATCTCTTCATCTTCATTCAAGAACGCCGCTCTGGCAAACGGGCAAAAACCGTCGTAAGTCGGCAGCATTGGATCGTTCGCCAATTCTATTCGATTCAGCGCAGCGATGAGGGGGAGCCAGCCCTCCGGCGAGGTCCGGTTGGGATCCATATGAGGGAGCTTGAGCAAGAGCTCCAGATGCTCGGGATCGCGAGCGTTGCACAAGTGCTTGCTGTTGAGAGTCTCGACAGGCCGCGCCATGGGCTTGAAGAGCGTGACCAAGTCATCCATTTGATGGGCGCTGAACGGCCAGGTGGGTACGCCTGGAAAGAGAACCAACCATACGAGTGACAATGTAAAGGATGTGACAAGAAAGAATGTTACCTGACCAATGAAATATCTCATCCGGCGATGGAAAATCTGGGTCTGCCCCGTTTTCCAAAAGATACTGGACAAATCCATCACCAGCAGCAGAAGCACCCAGTCGATGGTGCCGCTTCACTGCTGCAAGAAGCGGGGCCTCTCTATTCTCGCCTGGGACCAGCATGTTTAAGCTGTCTACGAGTGGCTGCGTACGCAGTTTCCAAGTCCGACTCCGTAATGGCTTGCACGAGTCGCGCCATTCTCTTGCCGAGGGTCAGAGCCCCGGTCTCCCATCCTCGACCGCACAGCTGCGACAAGATGAGCCTGAAACCCGGTAGGCGAGGAACGAACGCTCCCACGTCGATCGATATTGGTGACTCGAGCGCAAGTAGCTCCTCGCCTTGGTGGTCGTAGACAAGAGCGCAAGTAGACAAGAGTGCAAGGACTTGGAAAAACCAGAGCATGGTCACCCCTCCGGTTAGCTCTTTGCCGCCGCTGCCCTCTCCTGGGGCAAACACGACAACGAAGCTCATGAGGTTGGCTTGTGGTTGCTCCTCTTCATCCTCGCTAGAATGGTGAGCGTCGTCTACAATAGTGAACACGGGAGCCAGCACACTATCTCCTCTACGAATGGGCTCATCATCGTGTGAGCACTTATGTGACCACAAAAGATCATTCATCGCTTTCCGCCTCTTACGATAGTTGTCCGTAAAACTGACTGTCTGCCATGCCTCTCGTTAGCACGATTGGATCACGGAGTGATTGCATCCTGTCATCCTCGACCTGCACTAACATATACAAACTTCACTTCAGAGTGCTCAGGAACCTTGCTCCCCGGCTTTCCCCTCGGCCGCTGTCGCTTCATCGTAATCCCAAACCTAAAATGAAGGATAGCTTTTATAGTAGGGGAACTAGGATTTTACACATGAGATCGTTCCTCAATCAATCCACTCCATATCATATAGGACCTTGAACTGGTGCCCCAACTGGCTAGTTGGGGGGTAGCGTTTTGGCTGCTAATTTACTTGCTTGTTCTTGAGATGTTTCAGCGTGCCATGAATCTTATAAACTTCAAAGGTGGCATTGTGCTTGTTTATGATGGAGCGTGCGTATTGGCAACAAAATTCTCCTGGAAGGTATAGGTGATGTAGAGGGGTGGCAAAATGCGCTATTGTTTTTGCTTGTCAAGGAACACTTCCATGTGGCTCTTTGGCAAGGTTGCCAAAGGTTTTCTCAATTTAATGGAGGATTTATTGGAATTGTCTCCATGCTCCTCACCTACAATTTCAGAAGTTTGCCAATTTCCATTGTTTTCATATTGTGTATGAGCTTGGATCATATGACATCCAGGTTTGGAAGAGATAAACAGATGAAATATCATTAAGCTCCTTGACCCAATGCTTGTACGATTAAGAGTGTACAATTTAAGGGTTTACTTATCCAGTTTTACAACTATCTGTCTGTGTATTCTCTTGATTCACTTGAAACAAATGTCCTTAGATGATACATGACTACCTGTAGCCCAAAAATTCTCCACCAGGCCCTTCATCAATTGCTGTACTCAATCACTCCTTCACTTATGACCACCTAGTGCCTATCTACCAGCTTCTGATCCTTATCATCTTCCTCCTTGCTCATGCAGCTGGTAGGTTTCTCCTATGAATCCCAAGAACATTTGCAAGAGTAGTGTTTGGAATGTTGTCACCACCAATGGTCATGGAAAGAATTGCTCTCTTTGCAACTAGATGATCGCATGAACGTGCTCTCTTCATTAGTTGAAGCGATTGATGAATGTTGACGCACGTTTTCTTCTTAGAGTTGCTTGTCAAAACATTTTCTAGTAGACTAATTATTGGGCAAATCACTTTGTTGTGGCACGCTAGAAAGCTATGGATGATCAATGCTTTTGTATATGAATCATCCTGTCAAATAAGTCCCCTATAGCTTTGGCCTTTCTTCTTACTTTTATCATACTCATATACTCATGATGAAGTATTCCCTACTTGATATAGGTGATCTTTGGTTTTATCATGATCACTTGAAGTAGTGGCCATCCTGAAGACAAATTAAGAACTTTGGTTAGATATGAAAGTAATTAGAAAAAATACTATAAATATCTTACGAGATATGTGTTGTTGTTGCTACTACTTGTTGGTGCTTCTAGTTGCTGTTGCACCTCTTGCTTATTGCTGCTACTAAGCTCACTGGCCTAGAAGGAGTAGGGCTGTCAGGCATGATCCAGCTACTACTTGATAGGCACGATCTTATTGCTGCTAACTAATTGCTACTAGTGTTAAGGCTTGGCTGGTTGCTCCCTTGGTTGTTGCTACTACTGCAAATTGCTGCCACCGCTGCTTGCTATCCACTGCTACTGCTTCTTGCTGCCCTTGCCATTGGTGCTACTAGTGTTGCTACTTGCTGTTCCTACTGCTTTTTCTTGCTACTGCTGCCATTGTTGGTGTTGCTGCTTGCTGGCCCCGCTGTTGCTGTTGGTGCTATTTCTTGTTTGCCATCAATGCCGCTATTGCATATTGTTGCCACTACTATTGTTGCCCCTACTGCTGTTGCTGTTGGTCCTGCTCTTTGCCACTAGTGTTGCTGTTGGTGCTACTAGTGCTGTTGCTTACTACCAATACTGCTTTGCTTGTCACACTGCTATTGGTGTTGCTACTGGTGCTGGCGCTGCTCCTTGCTACCACCGCTATTGTTAGTGTTGATGCTTGCCCCACTATTGCTGCTACTTGCTACTTTCTACTGTTGCCTCGATCACACACTAAGATGCTCCATTCTAAACCATAGCCGAATCAATCCACAAATGTAAGCAAGGTGATGGTAAGTAGGAGGAGGGGAGGAGAAGAGGAGGATTGGGAAGATGAGCACTGCATATAAGTTGCCCCATGACAATGCTCCACACCTTTTCATAAGTGATAATCCAAGGAATTCCCAAGTTCATGAAATTTAGAAAATTTCAAGTTTATGCAATCTAAGAAATATTCTCCCTTACCAAATCAATAAGCAATCAATGCATGTTTCTGTGTTTTTAGGCATTGCCTGAGGTGGTGATGTGGCTTGCTATATGGTTCCTGTAGGTTGAGGTAAACAAGAACCAAGTAAGCCTTAGTTTATGTTTGTTTCAACTTACTTAGTGCATTTTTAAATGTAGAGTAGCATTTGGGGGAATATTAATTTTTTATTTCATCACTTCCCAAGTAGCCATTAGTTTTTCATTAGCTTTTGTTGTTCTCCATTAAGATTTAGCATAGTTTTCCATATAGGACCTTTTCTAAATTTGAAAATTGCAACACTAAACCTCTATATTGTAAAATTAATTTTCCACCACCCTATAGTTATTAACTCTTTGGAGGTTTCCTTATTGAAATCCTCCTCATGTAAGGATTTTTTATCAACTGATTTTTATTTGACTAAAAGCTTCATCTTTGTAAGTAATTTAATGTTAATCTTTGCTCGTTTATGCTTTATCTTAGCCATCTTCTAGTGATTTGCCTTTATCCTTCATTATAACTGAGAAAATGGCTTTGATACCAAATTGTAAACCATAATTTTTTTTTTCAATTTGTCAATTTACCTTGCCTTTCTGACCACCTTTACATTAGCCATAATTACATTATTAATATCCACTTCTATTGTATTAGCTCTTATTTAGTTCTATCTGGTTTCAATAACTCACGACACAAGTTACAAAGTGTGAGCCATTTCTTCATGGATTCCACTCCATCTGATTTCTTTTCTGAAGTATCTTTTGAACATTTCCTTAAAGGGCCTCCCTAGCAAGTTTAGCAAATGTTGGGCAACATATTTATAAGCTGAAGTTGGTGGTAAAGATGCTTTGAAGTCACTCTTAAAAAGAAACTCATGAGAGATCATGTAGAAAGCTCTAGAAAGTGGCAAACCTAAGGAAAAAAGGACCTAAAAAATCACAGCGTTCCACAAAAGCATCTAGAGATCTTGCGAGGGTTAGGTCTCCTGGAGCTCGCAAGAGGGCAGGGAGGTTCTTAACTCTCCATCAGGCCCATTCCCCCATCCATCACATAAGGTCGTAGGATAACCTTACAGTTTTGAGGCCTAGGTCATGATCCGACATTAGAATGCCCTCCATAAAAATGTGAAGCGTCATTGGGTGGTATAAGTTTTCTACTCACTGTTGTGGACCATAGTGCATGACCCACTCAAGTGCCAGAGCAACATAACACTTCATCTTTGTACATCTGCTTCTTAATGTCCTGAGAATGCTCTACTACTATGTTCTCATAAGTTGAGATGGGGTAGTATATACCCACACTGGCAACAGCTAAGAGAGAAGGTTTTTCAGCCAGCAAGCACACTTTTAATGCCTAATTGATGCACAAAAGCCACAAAATGACTCCTCATGACCAAAAAAAAAGGTGGAGGCACAGCACTGTAAGGCCTTCTACTTAATCCAGTCACAACCTCCATATTGGGCAAATGTGGTGAAAGTGGCTGGCTCTAGAGGAGCTGTGCATGATGTCTTCAGCTATGCATTGCCAACACCCCTATACCACATCCCAAAGACATGATCGAGGACATTGGCTGCAATCCAGCGACTAAGAAAGAGCTCGACCAGCTTCTCGCTTTCTTTGTGATGGTGACGAAGCAGGAGCACATCATGAATGTGGTGCTGGCATCCTCGGAGAACTTCTTTGGGACTTGGCTTGCGGGCTACATAGGCAGCCTCCGAGCGGACACATCATAGTAAGTAGAGAAGAGGCATTGCTAGATTGCCCGCCCCCGCCCCCACCCCCCCGACTGAAGCTGCTGATGGGCTCGAGGTTAGACCACATAAGCCCCTCTTCCACCACTAAAAGCCAGCCCTCTAGCTCCTCTAACCCAATTGTGCCTCAGTTGGAAAGTCAAGTAGCAAAAACGAGCCAGATGTTCACTCCCAGATGACAAGAGTGAGAGACATAATAGAGACGATAAGAGTTTGTACCGTAAGAACTCTAAACCATGCTACCAGTATATCCCCAAAACATTATTTTCAAGGATAACCAAGTGGAACTGGAGCAACAACTTCAACTTTGCGTCTTACAACTTCAAGGACAATGCACTCATAATTTGTTGGTACTGCTTTCTTCTACAGGCTGCTGCTGCTTTGTTTCCCAGGCTTACAGATCATAGCCCGGTCAATTACTTGTCCGGCTTGGGCCTGCTTTGCTCGCTGAAAAGGACATCTTTGCTGGCCAAAGAGTACTTTAATTAGAGATTTTTATTGGTTCTAAACCTGAAATTAAGAGTTTATTTTGTCTACAACCAAGTGACCAAAGAGTTTTGTCTGAAATTCTTCCTGTGAAATATTTTTTTTGCAGCAGCGCCTACACCAAGCAAGAGCTCCTCGCGCATCACATGGGCTACGAGCAAACATGGAAGTTCTCATGGATTGCCGCAACCCCCTCTTTGCGAAAGGCCTTACATCACTGGGGACAGCCTTGGAGGAGCTCTGGCGGTGGTGTTTTGGACGCCATGAGGTGGACGAAATTTTGGTTCTTAACTCAATGTACTCTGAAACGGAGATTGATATCGTCAAAGGGAACCTGCAGACAATGTAAACTAGGGTTCAAAGCTTTGTTTTTCTGCGAGTGCTGTCGTGGGTATTTTCGTTGAGACATGGCTTTGGTGTTTTGTTCCTTGCAGATCATAGCCCTGAATGCCGTCCGGCTTGGGCTCGGCATCTTTGACGATGGCCAAATCTTTAACCCAACACACTTGTTTTTTTGGTTCTAAACCGGTGTTATCAAGAGATTTTGTCTGACTTTGCTTTTCAGAAGTAAAGAGTTTTGCCTGAAATTCTTCCTTTGAAATATTTTTTTGTCTTGTGATAATTTTATTAACTTTTGAATGAGTTACTAATAATTTTATTCAGTGAATATTACCAATAAATCTTTCTCCTTGTATATTTCTTGGCGGGTGCAGAAAGACTTGAATAGTCAGTCATACCCAGGCATTATATAGCTTACACAGCCCTGGAGAAACATAGAAGAAGATCCATCATGGAGCCTCCTCTATCCTTAGCATTTTTGAGGGCGCCAAAAGCTTTTACATACCACCGCACAGCTCTTATCATGTTGATTTGAATCCTGCTTATGATGCAAAGTTGGATGCTGAAGTTGACAAATGGTGTATGGATTTTTTAAACCTGCATGATCTCACTGATCACAAGACTCAGTTTGTCATTCAGAGCAAGCTTGGAAAACTTGCAGGCTTTGCATACCAAGCCATTTCTTCAGAGAGATTGATTCCCATGGCAAAATTCTTGTGCTGGTTCTTTCTTGCAGATGATTTTATGGACGATCCTTCTGTCCCTGTCTCTGACCTGAAGAATGCCACACTTGCAGCTCATCTTTAAAAACGACTATGATCAAGCGCTAACTCTGGTGAAAAGTAAAGACCTACTGCGGCAAATGGGGATGCTTAACGATGTCTACACTGATCTAAAGGGTTTCATGAAGCCTGGACATAAGACCCGGTTTTCGAATTCCATGATTGATGTGCTCGACATGTTTGAGGTGGAATCAAGTTGGCTTCACAAGAAACTGGTTCCCAACTTTGAGATTTATATGTGGATGAGGGAGGTAACGGCTGGGGTTATCCCTTGCATGGTGGCAATAGACTTCCTTAATAATTTTGGGCTGGAAGAGGAAGGAATGCTAGACGATCTCCATATTCAAACGCTGGAAGTGATTGCAAATCGCCATTCGTTCCTAGCCAACGACATGGTCTCCTTCAAAAAGGAATGGGCTTGTGAACAGTACCTCAATTCTGTGGCACTGGTTGGTTACAGTAGCAACTGTGGCTTAAACGAGGCAATGGAGAAAGTTGCAGAAATGGTTCAGGATTTGGAGAAAGAGTTTGCTGACATCAAACAAAAGGTTCTGTCAAACAAGGACTTGAACAAGGGAAATGTCATGGGGTATGTGCAAGGCTTGGAGTATTTCATGGCTGGAAATATAGAGTTTAGCTGGCTCTCTGCGAGATATCATGGGGTGGGATGGGTTTCACCAGCTGAGAAATATGGTACCTTGGAGTTCTAGTTTGCTTCTACTTGCATTAGATGCTGGTGCTTAAAATAACACTGATGGACAATAATATTTTGAATTTCTCATACAACTGTTGAGTAATATATTTTCATTTCTGTCTCCACTTTTTTCTTTCAGTACTAGACATTTACTTTTTGATACAACAAAAGCTTAAGTCTAGCAAAAAAGAGAGAGAGAGAACTGCGTTAGGAATTTCCAGAGCTTACTTGGAGACTGGCAAGCATCTTCAGAGCCGCGTCTATCTTTGCAGATTTCCTCGGCTTCTCCTGGGAAGTTTCCACAAGTGATTCTTCTCCAAAAGTCACCCTTACTTCAGTCGTGGTCGCCTCTGTCCGGAAGAAACTGACTGTCATGCCTTTTCTCGCGCAAAGCTCCATGAGAATGCGCACAGGATGGAAACGCAGCGTCGCTGGAGTGACCAGAGGCGATAACAAAGGGCAGCACCACTCTCCACAACCTCTCCAAATCGAAGTTAGTGTCCACAAATATGGCACCGGTTATGCTTTCAAGTAAGTCTCCAAGCACCTGAGAAAAGAGAGGCCAGAATGTAGAGAAGACCACCGGAATATGTGTACGTACCTTTGGGGCCGACAAGTCTTCGAAGCATGAAGCGTCTGGTTTTTCCTTCACGTTTTGCACGAACTTTCGGATCTCGCAGTCAAGTTCCACCGAGCCATGCTGAAGATGCTGATGTAAGCCGTGCCTCACAACCAGCCGAGCAAACCATTTGTTGTTCACGGCTGCAGACCGCAAGTCAGTGAGTGTTCCTGGAGGTAATCCTGGATGAGTCTCGAAGAGGTGGCGGGATACAAGGAAGTCCAGGACGCCATCGCCAAGGAACTCTAGCCTCTGTATTTGTTTTCGATTAGAAAAAAAGCCAAGCTGATAAACCAAGGAACTTACCTGATAGCAGAGCAAGCAGTTCGGTTGAGATGCGTGAGTTATAGCTTCCACCAAGAGGCTCCTGTTTTGAAATTTATACTGCAGCTTATGCTCTAAAGACTCCAACGAGGCCTGGAGATGTTGAAACGATTCAGCCGGCAGGGAAGCTTGGCGAGCCGAGGCAAGCAAGCCTATGTCGAATTCTATGTCAATGTCGAGCTGTTTCATAAGCTCCATGGCGCTCGGAGGTCCAGAGGTGGCCAAGTATGCACCGATAAGGGCCTCTACAACGTCGGCGAGAGCTTTCCTTCGAATCCCCCGATGGCCGCTCGCACAAGATGAAAAATAATTTTCCTCGTTTTCAAAGCTCCCCTGCTGGTGCCTACATTTTGATGAATCAGAGGTAAGCATGCCCGGGCCAGTCCAGTTGGAAGGATTGAATTCTTCGTCTCGTATGTATTCCTGCAAGGCAAAGTCAAACATTTACACTACAGGAAGAAAGATCGCGCATACCGCAATGCCAGATGATTTTGCCAACTGATATAGCGCTGCATTGCAAGTAGCGCGAGACCTTCTCGCACTGAGCTGGCCTTCGTGTTTCTTATCGTAGACCAGGAACAGCTTTTGAGTCACGACGTATTTGAGAAACGAGTCCCCTAGAAGCTCCAAACTCTCATATGAGAACTCTTCGTGACATTTTTTGCTGGTAATTGCTTCGAGGATCTGGAAAACCATCTCACCACTAAGATGCATTTTCAAGGATAAAGATGAATACCTTCGCTGCAGGAATCCATGGCCACAGTGGTGAGCGCAACTGTATGGCACAGACGGTCGAAGTAAACCGGTGAAGAAACGAAGGGACGAAGTATAGCGATCGAATTAGTCCGGACTTAATCTCTAGGCACAGGCACAACTCAGGTGGTAGCTCTACAAAACTTTCTTCTTGTCTAGAACCTGCAACATAAACTCCAACACTATAAATTGTAATTTCTAAGCAAATATCGAGTTTTCACCATGATCACCTTCTTGTTCCTTGGGTCTTATGAGGAGATTATGAAAAGCATGCGTAGGCTTGGCTTTCAGCAATGGCTGCTCTGGAAGCCGTAACGTCCTTTGATACCTGCAAAAACGTGAGCTTGGTGAGAGAATGTAGGCACAGGCTGCGATAGACGCTCACTTGTCTTTGTAATAATCTATGTACGTGAAGCCTCTCTTCGGTAGTAGTGATGCCGCAGTAAAATTCTCTAGAACCCCTGTGACACAGAAAAGCCTGCCATTGTGCACGGTAGCTACGACCATGTCCTGGAGCGCAGAAGAATGTACGTAGCCATTGGCAGTGCAGAGCATGTCCGCGTGCGTCTTCTCCCCCACACCATCCCCATCCATTGGAGAAGATGGTGAGAAATTACTACAAAGTGTCCTGTATACCCACGCAGTCGCATGAACACTCGTCCAATCAATACTATCGTTGTCATCATGCACAGGTAGCACAAGAAACGCTTGAGATTTGTCCCAGAGGATTTCTTGAGGACTTCCCGAGCAGCGTGCCAAACGGTTGAAAGCTCCGTTGAGCAGTAGCTCTTGATATGCCTTGGCTGCCTTTACCTGTATCAGAAGAAAGACGTGCCTTTATCAATCGTGTCTCCTATTCTTAATGAACAAAATCCTTCGTACCTGATTGGCATCCAGCTGAATTGGCCCGACGCGATGTACTCTAGCGTTGACAACTCTATTTCTTGAGAACAGGGTCACTTCAGAATCGGTTACTTCTGCGTCAATGACGCAATTTACCAGAAATCCAAAGTTTGAGTATGTTCGTGATTCAGGTGGCTCAACCACGAAGCAGATTTTATAAAACTGCAACTGCACCCCTGACTCGTTAAACACCCAGCTTCCCTCGAAAATGAGTGGCTTTGCAGTCGAGAAGATCTCCTTGCGTTTTCCTACAATCCACGCGTCATTAATGGCCTTGCAAATTTAATAGACTAGTCGAATACCTGATTCATTCTTCCGCATCGGCTGGTCTTCTTCATCGAAATCGTCAACATCTGGGCAAAGCGTGTCACGTCTAACTTCTCCCATGTCATAAAGTTTCCGGCATGCTTGCAAACACGCTGCTTTTTTCGCGAGCTGTTCTGTACGTCTTAGAGGACCTTCTACTGAACGCAGAGGAGCGTTGGGTGGAAATTCCACAGTGCAGACGAACGAATCTTTGAACGAAAACTTTGGTTTTGCATTGTAGTACCTGCGGCACAGAAGATAAGCATAAGAGAGATAGACGAAAGAAATACCTGTCACCAAGACGAGCACAATACTCGTGAATGAAGCTCACGCTGTCCTGCGAACTTTTACAAGCACCTGATTCCACACGGAAAAACTCCAGGTCACCTTCTGGAGGTGCCTCTCTCGTAATATCCATATAATTTCGGAAGATTACTTGATCTTCCACCACTCTTTCGCTTGTACACAACTGGTTGAACAGGTTCAGCTGCTCTACATTCCCCCTGTACGTATCAGATCCATGTTTAGAATGCAATTACAAAGGACGAACTATTTACGTTTCCAGAAGCCATACGTAAGTTGATAATAGGTTTCGAGCACGTCCTCGGGATTGAACATGGCTTCGCAAAGTTTGGCATACGTCAAATCTGATTACAGCGCAGCATGCCTGGACATCAAGACCTTCTTCTGCAACTGAGGTCGCTATTAGCAGATTAAGCTACAAGATATACAAGGAACGTTACACATAAAAAAGCATAAGAACTACCAACCTTGCCACCTGCAAAAGAGTGTAGAACCTCCTGCTGCTGGGTTGGATTTCTTGCATCCGTATCACGCACACCAGTCATATAATCACAACGGAGATGAGAAAGAAACGAAAGCCCAGATATGAGCTTGGCTAAGGCCATGGCCACAATCACACGTTCCACAAAGACAATGCAACGCATGTTTGTCATGCCCCTGAAAATGATTTAAGCAAAACTTTCAGGGAGGGCACAACTAACCTCAATCTTTCAAGCACATCCAATAGTACCAGTACTTTCGGGCTTAATGTTCCTGAAGTCATTTCCTCTAAGGTCGGATAAGAGCGCGAAGATACTGATTGTGTGTTTGAACGGTTTAGACAAACAAAAACAAAAACAGAAAAGAAAAGAAAAGAAAAGAGAGATACGAACCTTGAGAAAACCTTGGTATTGAAGAAACATTTTGTAAGAAACGCTCTTTCAAGCTCGTTTTCACCTCCTCCTCCTCCAACGAGACATCTGGCTTCCATTTTAAATGAAAAGTACTTTTGTTGCGACTCTTGAGTATCTCCACTGCCTGCAGAAGTACACATTTCTAACACAACACATACGTTATGTGATTACCAGAAGCGCAGGTAGAAGGCCCAGGTCTACGAGGCAGTGGTTTATGCTCAGAAGAAGTCTGTCAATAGATTTGTTTATTTTGTTCTGCTGCTCATATTCGCTACAGTTACACGCAGCTTCAGAATTTAGCTGTAGTTCAAAGTGAGAAATAAGAATTAAATAAAAATTTAGGGGGAACTTACGCGGTCTTTTAGTATTTCTAGATCAGTTTGTATACTGGAGAAGCTTTGTTTCGGTCTGTCATAGTACTCCTTATATTGTGTCGGATTCGGATAATACTCTTCTATTTCGGACTTATCTTCCACTGTGTACACCTAACCATGACGTGAGAAAAAGTCATTCTCCAACATATAACTAAAACCTTGGCATCCAGAATGCTTTCTAAGACCGTTAATTTACAATTGCAGTCATAACTTGATGATACACCTGAAATATTTCCTCGAGTAAGAGTTATAAACAGGAAACACAGAAACAACACTGTTACGGCACCTTTCTGAATAACAGGAGAAGCTGTCATTCCAAATATCTTTGGCTTTGATTTGAGACAAGAAACGTGGTAGTGCGTCTGGTTGTAAAGCAGAATAAGAAACAGGCCACAGACGAAAGATTTCACCTTCATAATCAGCGCGTATGGATGATTCTTGTGGGCGTGATGACACTCGTCCATGACAAGGATTTCCACAAACTCGAGCTTCAGCGCAGAAGTCCCGAGCGCATTTAAAAACACCTGAGGCGTCATCACCAGAACCTGTAGACAAAATCCATAAGAAAACAACGAAAAGATTGTGATCGAAGACGCTCACTTGATGAGAATCCACCTCCGCCTGCCATTGCTTGACGCTCCAAGAATCGACTCCTTTGTCACCGTAGTAGTCACCGACCTTGAGCACCGTAAAGGATTCTATAGCTCGAGCTTGCTATTAAAGAAGAAGAGCAAAAAAGTTACAGTCTAAAGAATTGGAGAACTCGCGAAGAAGAACAGTACCTGGATCACCAAATTCACCGTTGGTGCTAGAAACACCGCAATTCGCTTCTCCTGGGGCATGGACAGCCTGTCCTCGAAGCTCTGGATGAGCATGATCGCGATCATCGTCTTCCCCGTTCCAGTGCCGAGATTGACGATGATATTCTCCTTCAATGCCCTCTGGAACACATCTTTCTGGTAGCTGCAACGCGAATCAGGTAGAATGTAGGCTACTAGATCGTCTCTTACCCGCGCGGGATCATCGTCTTGGCCCGCTTCGCGCAATCCATGACGCCAAAAACCCCTGTCTGAAAAGCCCTAGCCTAGTGCCAAACAACTTTGCCTTTAAAATGGGTTTTTAATTTTGTTTCGTGCTCGCCAAGGAAAAAAGAACCAGCCAATGGTGGCGATCATCGATCGATCATCTTCTCTCTCTCTCTCTCTCTCTCTCACTCCTGGTCTTGGGCACCACTAGAAAATCTACAGGGCATAAGAGCTTTCTTTTGTACAAATTTGGAGGAGACCCTCTCCCTCTCTCTCCCTCGAGACGATCGTTTGATAGAGGCGGTATCAAATCGATCACCTGGTGCTGACGCGAAGAATCGGCTGCGCCACCGCGGGAGTGAGGATGCTGGAACAAAACTCCTCCCAGGATTTCTGGTTTTGATCGTCGGAGTCACTGCCACTGCTGCTGCTGCTCGTCTCGGAGAGATTGGAGCTCACGTCCGGCTGTTGCTGGAAGGCCGAGTGGAGCTCCACCACCAACTTACGAGCGGATTCGCGAGCCTCGGGGAGCTGGTCGATGAGCTGCGCAGCGGCGATTTGCATCAAAGCTTCCAATCCGTAGTCCCTGATGCCTTCGGCGCCCTGGAGGAAACAAGGAAAATGTGAGAAACTTTTGATCGAATCCATGAAGATCTCGAGCAACTTACGAGTTTGGCGACGCTCTTGGAGATACATGTTGCCGACTTTGCACGGACGCGGGGGTTCTTGTGCGTCGTATACGGCTGGAGCTTGTGGATCAAAGAGACGGGCGATATCCAGGTAGTCATTCCCAAGAGAGCCTTTTCGGCTTCCTCGCAAACGAATTTCTTGTCTTGTGATGCTTTGAGCAATAGTTGGAGCAACTGGATCACAGAAAAAAATAAAGGACCAAAAGCTTAGAACCAGTATGAAACTATCTGCCTATGCATGGCGAGAAGGGAAAAAAAAGAGGGCAAGGAGAAAAAAAGTACCAGAGGATCGAGCATTTCGAGCACTTGATCTTGAAACGCCTGGAACAAATCCGAGCATGCCATAATCGCCGTCTTGCACAGCGCGCTGCGAGGATTCTTCACGGCCTTCAAGACTAGGGTCATGACATTCTCCCTGCGGCGGCGGCATCGATCATCAATCCACCAGTCCGAAATATCAGATCTAGAACCACTCACAGCACGGGGAGGAGCAAATCCGACTGGAAGATGGAGATCTGGCGCACTTGATTCAGCGCCGCGCACACGGTGAGCCAATCTCCGGAGCCGAGCCTTGCTGCCAGGGTCTGCCACCAGCAATGCCGTGAGCAAGAATGCACATCCCCATAGATCTGCGCCATAGAACCCTACCTTGAGCTGCGTCTCGGGATCTTTGAGCGGCTTGAGATCCCTGGAAAGAATGTACTCCACTTCTTGCACTGGCGGCCGATTCTCATCGTTGATCTTGCCTAGAACCGCTGGCGCTTGCTGCTGCTGCTGATTCTTCTTGACGATTCCTCCAGCCATCATCTGGCGGCAACGATCACTGGACCGACCAAAGCGCCAAACCCAAAAGAAGAAGAAGAAGAACAAAAAAAATGGGGTTTTCTCTTTTTTTCCTCTCGTCCTTCTCTCTTCACGGCCGCCTTATCTTCAACGGCGAGCTAGGGAATATTACGACGGGCGCCCGTCAAGATGCCGGCCGACGTGACGTCCCACCGTTGGAGTGATGTCCTCCACGTGGCACTGCTCGTGGTGGGAATCGAACGCGAGACCTTTATAAGCTCGAGATTGAGTTAAATTTTTTTGACACGTCTACCTAGTCGAGATTAACGTTCTTCACCCCGCACTGCTTGCTCACGAGCTGCTGTTGCCGCGGGCTCACAGCGATCTCGCAAGAAATCCCCACCTGGAAGAAGAAGCCAGTGAGAATCTCTCGATCGATCGCGACCAATCGAGCGATCGAACGGTCAATCGAGCGAGAGAAGAAGAAGAAATCGTAAGACGAAATTAGCCCAAGAACCCTAAAAAACTGACCTCGATCCGGGGCGTCTGGATTCCCAGCACGACGATCCTCGCCGGGATCTTCCCGCGCAGATCCAGCTTCACAATCCCGCTGGCCGCGTCCTGGAGCAGATCCTCCGCCGTCGCCTGGAGCACATTGACCCTGTCCACGACGATCGACGCCCGGACGAGCCCGCTGCTGCGCGCCGGCTGATAGAACGCTGGAGCCACCGCCAATCCCACGAAATTCCGCCTGTAGTAGATGTAGATCCGCGTCGCCGAGTACCTGATCCCGACCTTGTTGGGATTGTGCGCCGCCAGCGTGAGCTCCAGATCCATGGACAGCAGCACCGCCATGCCGCTAGTGGTGAGCGGCGCGGGCTGCTCGACGCGAAACGAGACAATGCGCGCGTCCTGGAGGGAGAAATCTGGCCGCCTGGGGCGCAGGACGAGGAAGAGGACGAGCGCGACGATCGCCGCTAGGACGACGACGAGGAGGAATCCAATGCAGCAGCATCGCCGGCAAGCCCTGGATCGATCGTAATCGTCGTAGTAGTCGTGATGGAGATGGAGCTTGCGCCGGCCACTAGCGCTTCTCATTCTCTCTCCCTCTCGCGCGCGCGTTTCCCTCGTCTAAAAAAGAGAGCTCTCCTCTCTTTTGCTAAAGAGATTTCTTGGAAGGAAAAAACTACCTATGGAATTTATAGACAAGGACGATCCAAAGGTTTTTTTTCAGTGGAAGCTTTCATTTTCCTTTCAATCACTGTTTCCTCTATGCTTTGCCGCTTCACATTCCTTGGATTCGATCAAAAGATATAAACTTTTTGCCCATGCGTGATTCTTATGCTACACCAATCCAATAAGTCCAAGATCAAACAACGTACATATTCTCTAACCTTTGATAATTCCCCGGACGTTTGGAGTTTCGATCTTCTTGAGGCAAAACGTTGAAGTGCTTGTAACTTTGACGAAGAATTCCTTGTAGCTCTTCCCGAAGACCTGTGGTGGTACCAGATTCGATTTTTTTTTTGTTTGGTCTACTCCGAGTCACTGTCTTCATACGTCGTCGTGCGGATCCTTGTCTGTCCGTAGTCGTCTTCCACCTTTTTCTCTGGAACTATCAAGATCCCTGTCACGAAACTCGAGGTTAGCAAGCAATCGAAGCTTAGAGACAAGCTTTGCTTACCTTTCTTGATCAGGAGCTTCTCGAGCGTAGCTGTGGGAAAATCGTCCACGCCTCCCAGTTCTTCAAACCCGACAATTCTCTCGCTTGCAATGCCGTTCCTGCGAGAGGCAAACGAGTGAGCTTTCCAGACATCCGGGACCGAAAAGTCTGTTACCTGAACAAGATGACGCACGGCAGCGTCTTGATCTTGAGCTTTGAAACGAAGAATGGACATTTCTGTACGGGGATAAATGAATCAAGGAACTGAACGACAGGAACGAAAAATCTCACCTCCGCATCCACCATAATGAATTTTGTCTCAAAGTGTTTAAGAGCTAGAGCTTTCAGGTGCTTGTTGATGATCCTGTGTACAGCAGCATTACAGAGTTAAAGCTTCCACCGAGAAAAAAAAATCTCCTGCAACTTACTTGCAGCGGAAGAACTCGCGATGGTAGAAGTGACACACAACCTTGTTACTGCCAGTAACTTCTCCGAGAAAATCTTCTTCGGCTACCTGAAGAACACATCTCGAAAACCAAAAATCTCAAAACTAATGGAATGAATCTCTTGCTTTTACCTCTCTGTACTCTCCATGTCCCTGCCTTTGCAAAACTTGCCTCTTCTCAGCTTCCCTCTACAAAAACCAAAGAAAAAATTTCTCTCAGAAAAACTCGAAAGAAACAAACAAGCAAACCTTGAGTGATGCAATCCTATCGGCATGAAGCCGCTCCAGCTCTGGATCCTGAAAACAATGAAGTAAACCACGGCAAAGAGCTCCATCAAAAACTCACATCCATGAGCTCGTCCAGATCTACTTCCGGCGCCGCCTCCTTCGTCGATTGCTTCTCTGCCGCCAGCATTTCCTGACCATGAGCCCACAATCCTTGAGAACAAGGTTCCACAAAACCTCGCTCCCTTGGAAATATTTCCAGCCTACATTCTCTCTCTCATCGGCGGCGATGCCTACCTTCTTGTAATCCCGCGCCGCAGCTCCCATGGCGGATCCAAACGCCAGGTCGGAGAGCGTCGATCCAAACTTGCTGGGATCCATAGCTGCGAAGAACAGAACTTCTCCCCAACAAAACAAGAAGATTAGGGCTCACAGACCTAACGGGTGTGGGATATTCCTTTAGAAGAATTATGGAGCAGCGGGCGCCATCGCTACTGGAGCTGAGCACCGAGTGCGCTGTGCGCAATATCCATCGATTGCCATCGCTCGGATCCATTCCAGATCACATCGTGCTTCACTTATTCCGCGTAAGTCATTCTCGATCTAGGGATTTCCTCCTCCTTAGGATTCCTTCCATGGGATTTTCTCATTCTGGATTCACTCGTATTTTGATTGATGAGAACCATTGCTGTTATTTGAATCTTTCTATTGTAGCGATTTTGAGCAATCGATTTTCATTGTTCTTTAGAGAACTCTAGAGTGTGGGAAGCTAACCGAGGGAGTGTTACAATTGTTCCTGGCCACGGGTCACAAACAAATCCAGGACTTTGTGGCACAACACATCCATCCAGTTCTAGAGCCCATTCTCCCAACAAGTAAAAAATTATAGCTCCTTTCTTCTGTGTTTCTTATTCCAAGCTTTCCAGGATGCTCAGATCGGTGATAAGTATTTCATATAACTGATGGAACTATTTTCTTGGTTGTATAAACAGAGGTTTGTTTATTCATTTTTTCTAAGCTAGAGTGCTGAAGATCTGAATTTCTAGTTTTGTTGACGTGAACCAAAAAGATTCAAATCAAGAAGGTAATAATTATTTTTTTCAAATTTTTTGCATAGATATTTGTAAATTATATTATATTTTATTCTATATAAGTCTAAGTATATTTTTACCCCTAAATTAGTAATGCATAAATAGTTTTTTGAGTGTTCAGAATAGATATATTAATTAAGGTTTATAAAAATGAATGGATAATATTTAATCCCAAATGGATGGTCCATATATTATAAATTTACATTATCCTCTTTTTTGAAAGATGAAAAGGTGATGATAATAAATCACTAGGCAATTATAAATTACCACAAAAATTTAAAGTTCCCAAAAACTCACTAATAAAGTTGTTGGTAACCATGATTTAAATAAAGCTTAAAACCTTAGCATAAGTAAGTTGCATAAAACTCCCAAATGCTTAAACCAACCATGTAACCATAACTTTGAACTGAAGTAAAGGATTTTGAGAGCCACTACAATCTATAAAACATTATTATAGTAAACAATACATTCCATCTCTAAATCTGCCTGTTGATAATTTTTCAAGACCACTATTAACTCAAATTTAGATAAAACAACTATAAAAAGTTAGCACCCTAATCCAACACTACACATGAGAGGTTAAATTCACTCCATTTATCTTTTATATTTTCTTTATTCTTTCCTTAAAGGAAAATAAGTTTTGAAGCACTGGCTCCATTTGAATTTATTGTACTCGTCCTCACTTTGCCATCTATGTTTGGCCTCACTATGTTGGGGCTAAATGTTTCATTCAAACTCACTATGTTTATCCTCATTTTAAAATTTATGTCATTCATCTTCACTCCATTACCATATTCAATCATCCTTACTTTATCTTCGGGGCTAGACTCCCATCCATCCCCTTTACCCCTTTCAAAGAAAAAAAAGTTCAAAGTGTCAAGGTGAAAAAGGGAAAATGAGAAAAATTGAGGAAAAATTATTGTGGAAAAAGAAAAAACATTAGAAGAAGAACTTACAATAGTTAGCAATATAGAAATAAGGAAATAAAAAAAAAGATATGTGCTCAAAGCTTAGAAAATAAAAGACTTTCTATCATAAAATATTTCAACCATCACAATATAAGTAATACAACCTCCTCAAACTTTGCATTAACAACAATAAATCAAAAACTCTTAATAGCACTAAAAAATGGGAACACAACCTAAAATTCTAGCTAAAGTGATTCAACCTTTAGAACATAAGAATACTTAAGGCTAGAATTAATTAAAGACTCTATCAACAAAACAAAAGTAAGATTCTCAATTTCATGTATATACTCAATATCTAGATTAATATCATTTCTTTTTTTAGCATATCGATAATTTATGATTCTTATGATTCTTATTCTCAGTCTAGTGTTGAGTTAAGTGTTTTCTATCCTAAATATTGTAGATGAGGAAGGAACATTAAGAACATGAGAACATGAGTTAGATTGAGAAATAAGAAAAGGTTAGGAAAGAGCAAAAGGTAAAGAGAAAGAATTATATAACAAATTAAAAAATTGATACTTACCCCATGAAATCTCCACTTCATCTCTAAAGTTATTTTTATAATAATTAAGTTTATCATCACAATCTGGAATCCATTCAAGTTCATACACATTGTCTTTTCATAAACTCAATCCTCAAACATTCTCCAAGAACTAAATTACATCATTCATAACTCAATACTCAATGTCATGATCATGTTCCACATTAATAAGAAATTGTAAAACACTGAGAACAAAACAAACTATATAATCATGTCTCACAAAAGTTGGAGACAATAACACACTAAGGATGGGTGCAACACCAATATAATAACACCCTATAGTACTAAACATTTGATCCAACGAAGTAACATTAAAAGCCTCAAGTAACATACTCCTTGATCAATAATGGCGTGGTATGGTAGAAGAATAGAATGCAATGAAAATCAAAAGAAAGAGTAGATCTAAGCATAACAATAATTAAAGTTCTAGATCTTGCACAAAGCTAATATACATCTAAATTATCCTTTCAATTAATATGGTTTTCTAAATTTATTATTATATGTGTATTAAGCGTGCTCATTCTTATTGACTTAAGCTGGACATCCTCATCCTTCCAAATAATTCTATTCCAAGCTAATAGTAGAATGAAAAAATAACTTTGAAATGAAAAAAACTGATTAATTACTCACTTGTATAAAAACTTTCTCATGATTGATAATATATCACTATGATGGTACTTGCCCTAGCACCAATTTACATTGTTGTCTAATATAAGAATAAAACAAAATTTTAAAATTAGTTATTATGGTAGATTTATGGCACTTAGTTTAAGAAAATTAAAACTAATTCAGAACTTGTTAGAAAATTATTTCAAGTAAATTTTATTGTGATTACAGTGAGATTATTATTTATATGTAGATTCAAAAGTAAAGAATTCAACTGTAATATGATCAATATGTTGATAGCAATCTATAAATGACCAATTATTCCATCCATAATCACCTTTTGTTTTATATTTTGCAGAACCTGGAAAAACTATTAACTTATAAGGCTCATCTTTTACATACAAATCTACAATTTCTTGTATATAAAAATCTACAATTTCTAAGATAGAATTTGGATCTTTCTGATCTTCAAACAATTAATGCTCTTCTATAGATAAAAACATTTACATCTCTCCTATAATTATTATAGTATACAGTTAGAACATAAGTCATAAATTTTTCCCAATCATAAGTTGGAAAGACCATGCTTAAACTCCGATTTAAAAAAAGTAAAAACCAAAAAATAAAGAAATAAATTATAATATGATACATCTTTTGATAAAATTAGAACTAATAAGTAGCTTATAATAATAAATCGTTTATATTACAAGTAAAACCACATTAAAATTTTAAAAGTATATATTAATATAGAAAAACAAACAAGAAAAGCAAAGGAAAGTATTAATTTTCAGAGCAAAGATTTTGTGGCAAAAGTTTGTCTTTTAGTATTTTTGAGTTTAAGGCTGGTATTATTTTTAATGGTTATCTTTAACATGCATACATTATTAAACTATGTACTATCTATCTTCAATTATAAATATTGTAAGATTTGAATTTACTAATGTTCTAAGTTGTGTTCTTATTAGTTGTATCTTTTGTTTCAATTGTTTAGGAATGTTTTATTATATCTGCCACAAGTATAGAGATAAAATTATTTTATTGAATTGTAAAACTTACCTTTTTATTAGTAGGCAAGGTTATAATTTGAACCAAAATTTATTAATAGTTTAATATCTTTTATATATATATATATGATCCTGTATGATAATTCTAATATTATATATTAATTTCTGTCCACTTTTAACATTATTTTAAATTGATTTTTTTAAATACTAAATTTTAAAATTTTAAAGATATTTATTCAGTAAAAATTAGAGGATATAAAGATAAATTTAAAACATTTTAGTTCGTTCAGAGCTACTAGTCTGAAGTGCCATTGCAACCAAGCAATTGAATTGGCTTAGAGCATAAAGGATATTGTCCATTTTATTCGTATCAAGAGTTCATTTTCTAAAGAAGAAAAGATGGAATGATTTATGTTTGTTTAAAATTTAAAATACAAAGTCATATAAACCCATTTTAATAGAGTTTCTAAAAATTAATTTGTCAAACCTGAAGCTAATCAATAACTTAATGATGAAAATTACTTAGGGTATAAGCTATACTAATTAAATGTGCCCGTATCACTTTTAAATTTAAATCCAGTCAAGTTAATGTTTATAGTATCATTATGAATGGTGATGGCAAAAATATAGCGTTTTAATTGAAAATTTACATATAGTTGTCATTTCTTTGTTTTTGTTTCTGTATATTTCATAAAGTTATTAGCTTATGAGATGTATAGATCTATTTTGTTTAGACAGAAATTGTAAATTTAAACTTAATTTTACAAGAAAAGAAACCAAATAAAATAGACATCGTTCGAAAATACTTTAACTAATAATACTTTAGAATATCTTTATACTATAGAATATAATTTTTGAATACAATTAGGATTGTCACAGGTTATCAATGTCCAACGGGGTACAAGATTAATTTTGAAGTGAAGTGAAGCACTAACTTTGGGAAATGGCTATACACAACTTTCGATTATGTACGGAGCGGAGTGGAACCAGTTTTTCCCATGTGTATAATACAAAAAAAAACCACCACCTTCTCAAGAATCCTAGAGTCTTTCAAGGAAAAAAAGAGAGAGAGAGAAATGGAAAATGGTCACCTTGTCGCCGATGTCGCTGCCACCTTCTTCTCTACATCCTGCGAGGCTTTCTTCGGTTTAGCCTTGCTTCTCGGCTTGGCCTCTTTCACAGCATCGCTGGTTGGAGTTTCCTTGGCTACTTTGGAAGGCTTTGGTGGCTTC